CCTTTACATTATCTAGTTTTAGCTATTATAGTGAGAACTGCCAGCTCTTTATCTAATCTCCCATAAAGTATCTTTAATATACATTCGATTTATTTTCAGGTGCAATCGATGAGACGGCTACTTAAGAAACTATCCTACTCCAGCCCATTGTCTATGACGGACAACCGTATCCAAGAAGCATCAAGGATTTTGATGACACTTCTGTGGAAGTAAACTGCATGAGCAGAATAGGCAAAACCCGAATCTTCTGGCCTACGATCGTTGACATAATATGCTGTATTGTCTCTTATTCCTGAATCAACATATTGGGACGCCATAACGCAAAGACTCGACCTAGATTAACAAAATAAAATATTACAAAATTTAAGCTGTGTTTTATTTCATCCCGTTGCTTTCGTTACATCCGTAACGAATTTGTCATATCCAACACGGAAAGTCATCTCCGTCACTCACCATATTCAGCCCAATTCAGTACAATAATAGCGCGTCGTATTTCTCTTGGTGTTTATAAATAAACTAGTGTTTGTACATTATCCATGATAAATTTCAATTTTCTGCTGTTGATATTTCGTTCTAAAAAGGGGTTAACAATATGACCGGGAAATCATTTTCGTGTGTGTTAAATTTTTTTTACGAAAAAAATGCTTTAGATAAGCAAATCATTGTGGATTTTATTTGAAAGTGAATGCGTTTTTCTGTCTAGTCATGATGAAGCGTAAAGATAAAAACGTATTATATACCTACATCCGTGACGGAAATGACACCCACGTTCTATGGGCATTGAATAACCCGGGAAAAGAAAAAAAATACGCGTTGCTGTTCTCTTTACTCGGTGGTTCGTCCTGTTTAACAAAGGTATATCGATACAAAAAAGGGAAAAAAGGCAGAAATAAACACTTTCTTAATCTCGGAATTGCTTTCGTTCGACAGGTAGATTCTCTCTCTCTCCATTTTCTTGTCTCCAATTTCATTCTTTTTCGAAGGCTGTTTAATTTGGTTGTTGTTAAACGCTGCGCCTTTGTCCAATTGCGATTTGTGTCCTTTTCTAGATATTTCTTGTACTTACGGCTGTCTGATTTTAATCTTTCCTTTCGCAATCTCGGTGTCTCTGCAGCTGTCTTTGCAATCTCAAACTACCACTATATAACCTGAAAATAATATGAGAAATGCCATTTTATTACGATTTCAATTGAATTTTAGGTTCTATCACCATCTCATATTAATACCGCCTTTCAAAATACGTGTTGGCAAGATTAGTGTGATTCCGTTACGAGATTCCGTCAGGCTATTCGGTACTAATCTATTAATTTTGTATTACATCTGACGTGGTATCAAATTAACCTGCTTAATCGTGTGAATGTTTTAGGCTATCGAATTTGGGCTTCGGGAGAATTTGGGCCCCGTGCGCATTTTGGTCCCGGACGAAGCCGGGTATCCTGCAAATAATTTATGTAACATTTGAGGCCAAAAGAAAGACCTGCAATTGGATTGTCTCGCTCTAAATATGTTTTTGTTTATGGAAGAATGTATTTACGTATAGAGACGGTATGTAGGTAGGGATAATATCTATGGGTGTGCCCCCACTGTGCCCACTTTTGAAAAATTAGGGATAAAGTCCAATTAAGAATTAAGTGGATTAGTGTATTAAGCGGATTAGGATTAGTTGATAGTGGGTACTTGGAAGGAAAAAAATATAGATATTACTGTATAAAGGTTTTTTTTAATTATTTTTCTCTGATATATCATACATCACATTTTACAATTCAATAAAATATAATATACAAATAATAATGGGATAAACATAGTTACAATAAGATAAACAATGAATTGATTAAAATTAAAAATATCATAATAGTAAAACATAAACAATAAAAAATCAAATCTATAATCATTCATGTCATTTACAAAGCAGTTAAATGGGCCACGCCATCGGCATACTCGAATAAAGTCTTTATACCGTTCTGAAGATCAGTTTTTTAGAGTTTGAGGTCGGGTTTCAAGTTGCCGGTACTTCCTTCTCTTAGGCCGTAATTTTTAGAGTTTGAGGTCGGGTTTCAAGTTGCCGGTACTTCCTTCTCTTAGGCCGTAATTTGCCGTTGGCACCCAACTGCAGTATGTGCTAAGTACTGACCACACTAATTAATCCCTTGTTAATCTCTCTATTGTTCCCTCGTTAACGCATGTTAATCCCTCTATTGTTCCTCGCCTGGGTGAAACTTGTTTTTATTACAAAAGTGGGAACAATGGCATGCGGCCAAATATCTGTTGTTATAAGCTATAGCACAGATTCCTGGACAGAAAAATATCATCGCGAATATCAAGTCTCGCGCTTTTCAAATGAAATGCCAACCTATGATAATCGAGTTGCAATTTTGAATAATGTCAAAAGTTTGCCTTTTTGGGGGGTTTTCCGTGAGATTCTCTACTATAAAGAAAATCTTTCAACGGCTGTAATCGTAACTATTCCCTTAAGTGTTCTGTATCACGCCCCCTGATTTGACAACGTTAATGTTCACGTTTCTGCGGTAAAAGTTTGGGAATTTTAGACTAAGCTGGCAACAGCTAGATGTTAAACTCGCGGTTGTTGCTTCAGTAACATGAAGCTATAGTCGTATTGGGGTATAGTTGAAAAGGGGAAAGCGGGTGGGGTGTGCGGGATACCCGCTAACGTAGCGAAAAAGAACACAAGTTTTTGATAGTGAACTCAGTGGATTGAATTGTCGTGCCATATTTTTTTTATTCATTCTGTGTTAACATATTTTATACGATAAGTTGGGAATAAGTAATGATTAGTTTATAGAGGGAAGCCATCGTGTCAATTGAACCGTGGTGTGAATAAACTTAGCCAGATGTTTATGTGTATCGTATTGGATAATTGAAATCAGATTGATGTAGGTTGAATTAGTATAGCGTATACCCAATCTAACTTGATGTACATTATTGTGTTCGCTTCAAGTACTCTTTCAGGATATTTTATCATTATGCAACTATTTGTCCAAAGTATGCTTATATTTCCCGGCATGCTAGCTTTTCTTTAAATTATACACTATGATGCTCAGGACCTCGACTGAATAAATATATCACCCACCTAATCCAATACAATATCAGGCAACAATTCATCTTTTGGATATTATTAAAACGACGGATAGCATTTTCAAATGCACCATAGAATATTATGTTCCAGACGTGAAAACCAAACAGGTTCTTAATGTAGACATGTGGTGTTTTCTATCTTTTAAAATTTGAAAACTCATTGAATTACGCGTAATCAGAGGCGTAGCCGTGAAATATATATTGGGGGGGGGGGGGTCGCAACCCTAACCCCTAACCCTAACCCTAACAAACACCATGTGGCCATGCTGTCTACCAAGACACCGCGTGCAAAAGCATTATGGTTACGTTGCTGGCTGAGCGGGCGATAAATATTTGGTTTAAGCGGTAATGTTTTTGGGTACCTACATGCGATTCACTCTGACAAGTGGCAGAAAAAAATTAACAAAATATTACTGACAGGCTAACTAAACACAATTTTATGGAACACGGGTACTTTTCACTTCACACATGTTTCCAGGATGATTCTCTCTGTGTTTTATTTTAGCAATGTAAACCATATTGGGATATGTATAGGTTTTATACAGATATAGAATCTTAACTAATCCAAATAATTATTATTATTATTATTATTGTTCGATTTATATAGCGCTTCATTACACATGAAGTGTTTCTAAGCACATATCACAAACATTTACTTTGTTGTAAATAAATAGGAGTTTGGGCCTACTATGTAAATTTTTTTTTTTTGGGGGGGGGGGGGTATATTCAGGCCCCCGAAATACAATTGGGGGGGGGGGGGGTCGAATCCCCCCCCCCCATGTGTGACGCCCATGCGCCTAATGGGTGTTAAAAATCTGTTACATTTGAGAGCTCAAGTTATACGAAGCGACACATTATGCAAATAAAATGAAATGAAATGGGGTTTAACGCCCTACTGTTCTACTCCTATTATGGGCTAATGAGAGAAAGAGAGGGAAATGGGGTTTAACGTCCACTCGACACATATCAGGTCATTTCGGGACTAACATACGGTTTTAATTTTATTTCAATAATTCGCTTGCGCGTAGGGGTCTTTAGCAGTGGGAGGAAACCGGATGACCCGGGGAAAACCCATGAGGTTCGACAGGCGACCCTACTCCTTGTCACGTATAACGGGGGATTCGAAACCACGTCAGTTGACTCAATGACAGGCCGTTTGCTACAGCACGCACGTGCTAACCATTCGGCCACCCCCACCCCCCATTGTGCTATGAGGGAAATTTTGGCCGGACAAGGGCACTACGACCTACTCTTATATCGAATTCCAACTGTCAAGGGATCTTTTACGTGCAAGCCGATGTGTACACGGGACTCGGTTTTTTGTCCCATCCGAACGACTAGACAGCGTTTCTTGTCAGGCCCTCCGTCCTGCATTTACTGTTTATTTGTGAATGCCATGAATATTATTAACGAATGTTTTCCTTATTGAACACCGAAATAGGCTATGTGTTCAAGATCTGTTTCATTTATTCGTTGAGAAAAGACGTCCTTGGGCGTTAGGTGATTTAGATGTCATTACCGTTCAGTATTAACACCAAGTGACATTCTTACTGATGGACTATGTTTGCTGTCTGGTAACGCTATATATTGCAGGACTGGATTAATATCTGCAGTTATGACAAACGAGCTGTATGTGCAACCGAAAAAAACGGTTGGTGATAAAATTACCCATCTCGAACGTCTCTCGGGGTGTCATGCTTTGTCCCTGGGTTTGGACCCGTGGGGCTGGAAAGGAAAGTCGTGCGGGCGAGACAGAAAATGAGATTCACTTGCGCTGGGATATATTCCTTTGAGAATGGCCGTAATTACGCTATTGGGGACCCATAGTCAACGCCCGAATCTGATCACGGTCGATAAAATGCACGCGGCGTTCATCGGCTCCACTCTGTCCGCTGTGAATTGTGTCTGGGATTGTCTCAGAATAATGGTGCCGATCGATATTGTAGCTTTTATTTATGCAAATTTATGAAATGCAAAATACGACAGAAAAACATAAACAAAGACAAGTTGTAATAATTTAAACGAAACTATATTTTACTATAATATATGAAATTGTAGACCCATTTCATGTTGTCATAATTATTGAAAACAAGAAACATAATAGTTATTTTGAAATACTCCCTTGATGAAGTCGGAGCAAATGACAGCATAGTCAACAGATCATGAGAACAGAACGTTCAAATATGGAGGAAAGGGTTAATCTGTGCAGTGTTATGGGTATGCTTTAAAACTTTGAAATAACAGCGGATGTGGTGTGGCGTACAAGAACATCAGGTATGCATCGGTCTACTTTAATACCCGATCTCTTATTTCTCAAATTTCCAACAATTTTTAACATTTAGGCCTATTTCTGGAACAGCTGTGCCGTAATGCACCGTTTGAATTTAAAAAAGTGAGTATGGGGAATCTAAATTTGTTTCTTCTTTGAAGTGCTTTAAACGCTCATGAAAACAATACACCCGTCCTTTAGTTAAACCAAAATATGGATCCACGGTATATTTATTATGGTAACCTTCGGGCGTTACGCATGTCGACAGAATTACAAACGATAACATCTGCTAAGCAGAAACGAAATGAAAGGTAAGACGCTGGCTCGCTAGCCTGGAGGTCGGGTGTTCGATCCCTGCATTGGCCGAGAAAGTTCATCCAGATTTTCCGGCGTGGTTTCCCCTTGTCAGTGATGCAGGACGAAGGGCCTGACAAGGACAGCTGTCTAGTCGTTCGGATGGGACGAAAAACCGAGGTCCCGTGTACACATTGGCGTGCACGTAAAAGATCCCTTGGCAGTTGGAATTCGATATAAGAGTAGGCCGTAGAGCCGCTGCCCGTGCAAAATTTCCCTCATAGCACACTGTATGGCGTATGCCCGTCTTCATTAGCCCAGGTTAGGAGCAGAACAGTAGGACGTTAAACCCCATTTCATTTCATTTTCCCACTGTTCTGCTCCGACTGGGATAATGTGGGCTGTTAATGTTGGTAAGGCATGTAAAGGATATTATTTTATGTATTCATTTTTCAGAATGGGTTTCAGGTGGTCACAGCTAAAATTTGCGTGCTTTCTTGTCGTCTTGATTGTTTGTGAATATTTCGCCGTAGCCGCAATTTTTAACAACGAACACCACACGGCTGAAGTACAGTATATGGAAAAACGTCAAGAGGTGAATCAACATGAAGGCAAAACAAAAGAAGAGAATAAACAAATTAAAAAGACTGGGAAACTTTACAATATTTTATTGTCTCAATATAATAAGCAGTCATTATGACGACACGTCTAAATGCAATGTTATTAACTAGTTGAGTGACAATAACCCCACACGCCTTCATTATTATAATACCCTGTTTTATATACTGTTATTATTGTTAATACTACAGTTTTTGCACTAGTCATAATAAATATATTTTTGACTAGTTTGGTTTATTTTCGCCATCTGTTGTATAAATATATATATAAATCAATATATTAAAGAAGGCCAGACGTTAGACCATAGTCTGTTCGATATTCAGTGAATATGAGCCAGTGTCCCTGGCCCCGTCTGTCTTCATTATCGCGATTGGAGAGAGAGAGAGAGAGAGAGAGAGAGAGAGATGGGGTTTAACGTCCACTCGACACAAACTAGGTCATTTCGGGACTAACATATGGTTTAATTTTTTTATTTCAATAATTCGCTTTAGCAGTGGGAGGAAACCGGAGGACCCGGAGAAAACCCACGAGGTTGGACAGGCGATCCTACTCCTTGTCACGCACAACCGGGGAATCGAAACTCCGCCAGTTGACTCAATGACAGACCGTATGATACAGCGCGCGCGTACTAACCATTCGCCCCCCCCCCCTATCGCGATCCACGGCGGCTCAGTGCGTATGGCACTGGCTCACTAATTTGGAGGTCCTGTTATGTTACTGATAGAAATTGCTACATCTTTTCCCTTCTGGAGTCAAGCTTTTGTCTGGCGATTGCTCACATGATAGTTTTGTAGCTTGGGTTTTGGACCTTCAATCATCCAATTGGTCAAATATGAGGCAAATAATCAAAGAGATTGGTCAATTTAGGCTAATGACGTCGAAACCCACCTTTATATGGAAATGGAAATTTACCGGAGAAACTTCCCACAAGATATATGTTATCAACCTAGAGTTGAATGTTTAGCACATTATGACTCTTTTTTATGTAACCATCTGTCTAGAATGGACGAAGAGGGTTTGAATTAACATTTTCTGACAGGTTTTGGTAAATATTCATGATTTTCAGGCGGAAGGGTTATCAGGTTGGCCACGGCGATATGTACGGCAACTAGTTACATGTTTTTAGCATGATTCTTCAAATTTGTGTATCTCAAAATTTTGGTGGTCAACCTCATACAAATTTTAATGCAAAGACATGACCAAGCATTCAGCATTCAGTTGGAGGTGGGCAAAGAGGCCAGAATTAACATTGAAGTCAATGGGGAAATTAATGGTGGTCTGCCTCCTTATGGTAGGAGGTCTGGGTCGTTTCATCCCTAAACCGTTTCATACGAGGTTGTTTCATATAATGATAAAATTTATTTTAGAAATCAAAAACTTATATTTATATTTCATCAGAAACGTATAACGAAAAACAAATCTCAAACCTATACGATAACCCTAGAAATATTTCTATAATAATAACAATAGGAGTTGTCTTTGTTGCTAACTTTGATCTTTAATTTATTTGCTTTTTTTCAGAATTATTAAAACCAGCGACTGCCAGGCAGGATACACACACATTTTGCAAGAGATGGATAGAGAACAAGCTAAAAACAAAAACGATTTTTTGTACACTCAGGGGCCATAATCCAGAAAGTTATGGTCTGAAATGCACAAATATTAAAAGGGACTGAAATTTTTGGAATATAAAGATATGTTTTAAGTTTCATCAAAATCGGATAAAAATAGTGACATCTAGAGGGTCCATATCCTTTGTATTACATACTTATACACAATTCACCTACAAAGAGCGGCCATTTTGTCAGGCTCTTTCATTTCGATTTTCCCGAAATTCCAATTCAACCTTCATTATGGTGGAATGGTGATATATTGAAACGGTGTTTAAAATCGGAAAATAAATTGTGACCTCTAGAGAATCTACAAGCTAAAAATACGATTTTTCGTACAATCAGGTGCCGTAATCCAGGCAGTTACGGTCCGAAATGTACGAATATTGAAAGGAACTGAGATATTTGGGATATTAACATGTATTGTAAGTTTTATCAAAATCGGATAAAATTGTGACCACCAGGATCCACATGCTTTTACACTATTTGCGTACGGAGAGCGGCCATTTTATCAGGCAGTTTCGGTTCGATTTTAACGAAATTCGAAATCAACCGTCATTATGGTATAACGGTGATATATTTAAATGGTATTTAAAATCGGATAAAAATTGTGACCCCTTGAGGGTCCACAAGCTAGAAACGTGATTTTTCGTACAATTAGGGGCCATAATCCAGGAAGTTAGTTAAGAAACTAAAACCGTAATAAATGTAGCAGTATCGACCAAATATGTAGCGATTTTTTTTATAGAATGCATTGATTTACTTTCCCCACAGTTGGTAAAAATATGTAAAACTGGGTCTATGATAGTGGGTGCTATCCTAAATGTTGGCACGATTGCTTACTAATACCCGTTCCAAAAGATAGGTTGCCAGGCAACGAAACATACGCCCACAACAGCTAAATCGTCCGAGCAGTCAAAAATCATTGAAAAACAATATACATGTACTTGTTCGTCTCATGACTTTAAACTCTGTGTATCAATCTAAAGTCAATCGAAACAATTATATATAGGCGTAAACACGATTTATAAAAATAAGATAGGTTGCCAGGCAACGAAACATACACCCACAGCAGCTAAATCGTCCGAGCGGTCGACAAGGGTTGTTTCATATTTATTCCTTTGTAGGTAATTGGGGGCCTTTACAAGACAGTTCCATAAAGATCAGATTATAATTTTTATCGTTTGAGGATTCACACGGTTCTACAAACTGAAACAAGAATCTCAACTCTGGAACTAATATACAGAAATTGTTAAAATTTGACAGGCTTTTTCGTTTTACTAATTTAAATAAAGCATATAAATTCCATACAAATCAAATGATCACTTTTGTCATTCAAAATCGCCATAACTCTAGAAATTATTTACGGAAATTGCTGAAATTCAATAGACCTCTGTTTCACAAATTTAAATGATGTATATAAATTTCATACATATCGGATGATAATTTTCATCAATCGAGCATTAACATAGTTGAACAAATTGAAACAAGTACCATAACTTTAGAAGTAATTATTGTAAATTGCCGAAATTCAATAGGCTTCGTGCTTTCACTAATTTAAATAAGGCATATAAATTTTACAAAGATCGGATAGCTTTCGGTGTTAGAGCGTTCACAAGGTTCAATAAAGTGAAACGAACCATAATTCTAGACGTAATAAACGAAAGTTGCTGAAATTTCATACAGATCGGCAAATAACTTTAGAGGTTAGAGCGTTCCCAAAGTGAAACAAGGACCATAACTCTAGAAGTAATAAACGGAAGTTGCTGAAATTCAATAGGACTGTTCTTTTTACTAACTTAAATGGCATATATAAATTTCATACAGATCGGCAGATAACTTAAGAGGTTAGAGCGTTCACAAAGTGCAACAAAGTGAAGCAAGGGCCATAACTCTAGAAGTAATTGACGGAAATTGCTGAAATTCAATAGGATTCTTTTGCTTACTAATTTAAATGACGCATGTAAATTTCATACAGATCGGCAGATAACTTGTGATGTTACAGCGTTCCCAAGGTGTACAAAGTGAAAGAAGGACCATAACTCTAGAAGTAATTGACGGAAATTGCTGAAATTCAATAGGATTCTTCGTGTCACTAATTTAAATCATGCATATGAATTTCACAAAGATCATGTGATAACTTTTGGCGTTAGAGCGTTCACAATGTTCAATAAAGTAAAACAAGGGCCATAACTCTAGACGTAATAAACGGAAATTGCTGAAATTCAGTAGGCTTCTTCGCTTCACTAATTCAAATAATGCATATAAATTTCAGAAAGATTGGATAACTTTTGGCGTTAGAGCGTTCACAAGGTTCAATAAAGTAAAACAATGGCCATAACTCTAGACGTAATAAACGGAAATTGCTGAAATTCAATAGGTGTCTTCGTTTAACTAATTTAAATAATGCATATAAATTTCACTAAGATCGGATGATAACTTTTGGCGTAATAGCGTTTACAAGGTTCAACAAAGTGAAACAAGGGCCATACCTAATGGACAGAAATTATTGAAATTAAATAGACTTCTTCATCTCACGAATATAAACCACATATATCAATTTTAAAACAATCGGATAACAACTTTTGGAGTTAGAATGTTCACAAGGAATTATGGACGACGGACGGACGGACGGGGGCGACGGCAATATACGTCCACATCTCTAAAGCATCCCGGTTTCCTCCCACTGCGAAAGACCCCTACGCGCAAGCGAATTATTGAAATAAAATTAAACCATATGTTAGTCCCGAAATGACCTAGTTTGTGTCGAGTGGACGTTAAACCCCATTTCTCTCTCTCTCTCTAAAGCATCCATAAGATTTTAAAAAGTGATCAAGGGCCATAACTCTGGCAGTAATCGTTGAAAACAATAGGTTTCTTTGTCTCATTGCCTTAAACACTGTATGAATTTAAAATGAATCGGATATTAACTTTGGCCTCAAGCTCGACAAGATATTTCAATGTGATCATGGTCATAACTCATGCAGTAATTATCGGAAATCGCTGAAAATCAATAAGGTTCTTCGCCTCATGGCCTTAAACACTGTGTATAAATTTAAAGTCAATCGCATATTAACTTTAACCTCTAGAGCGCCCACAAGATTTTTCAAAGTGTTCAAGGACCATAACTCTGGCAGTAATTATCGGAACTCGTTGAAAATTAATAGGCTTTTGCATCTCATGACTTAAAATACTACGTATGAATTTAAAGTCAATCGGATATTAACTTTAGCCTCTAGAGCGGCCACAAGATTTTTTAAAGTGATCAATGGCCATAACTTTACGCTGGCAGTAATTATCAGAAATCGCTGCAAATCAATAGGATTCTTCGTCTCATGACCTTAAACACTGTATAAATTTAAAATCAATCGGGTATTAACTTTAGCCTCTAGAGCGTCCACAAGCAATTGTGGACGCCGGACCGACGACAATATACGACCACATTTCAATGTATGCGTATAAAAAGGGTGAGTTGAACTCACCCAAAAATATTAGAGGCATATCCATGTCTACATTTTCAAAATTATTTTCCACTATTCTAAATCATAGGGTATACAATTGCTGCGAAACTGTTGTAATACTAGATAAGACTCAAGTTGGCTTTAGAGAGGGTAAGGGTATACTGTCGATGCTCTTTTTTATCCTCTGTGGCCTTATACATCATTCTTCAGAAATTATTCTGTGCTTTTATCGATTTACGTAAGGCGTTTGATAAAGTCCATAGATTGTTACCTGATTCAATAGGTGTTAGCTCTAAGTTCATCAAAATAATATTTGTTGTATATAACCAAGTCAGTAGTTTAGTCAGATTCAAAACAGGCGTTAAGCAAGGTGAGCCCTTATCCCCCGTACTTTTCCTATTATTCATTAACGATTTAAGAGTTTATCTCCTTGATAACGATGGAAACTTTTTCCACATCGTTGATTTTATATTGTATTCTCTTCTTTTTGCCGATGCCATCGCATTATTTTCACTAAGTTCCCAATCCCTAAATTTGGGAGATTCTGTTCAAAATGGAAACTGGAGAACACCGACAAATCCAAAATAGTAATTTTTCAGAGGTAAACTTAGCTCTAATTACATGTACAACCTGACGTTAAACGGCAATCCACTCGAAGTTGTTAACGAATATGTTTTCTTAGGTTTATTATTGTGTATATGATAACGGTTAATTCACAAAAATCAGTAACAAGAATAGAAACACAAGGCAGGAAATCTCTGGATGCCATGTAATTAGGGCTAAGTTTACCTCTGAAAAATTACTATTTTGGATTTGTCGGTGTTCTCCAGTTTCCAGTTCTCCAAATTCATTAAATTTTCAAATTTACAGTATAATGTGTGCTGATAATGAGAATGGAAAAAAATAATTGGGTGGGGGGGATTAGACACTTATTGAATAACCTTGGATTTCCTGAATTTTGGCATAAGCCTTCTTCCATAAACCAAATGCGTCAATCTTTAACTAAAACCTGCATCCAAGACCAATTTAAACAAGTATGGTTATCTTTCTTGGAAAATCTGAGTAAGTTTTGTTTTTTTAATTGTTCAAAACTGTACATGAAAATGAAATTTACCTAAATTCATCTATTGATAATAAATATCAAAATATAATATGTCAGTTTCGATGTGGTATGCTTAAATCGAATGTTGAAACTGGGCGTTATACAAGAACCAATCTAAAAATAGAATTTGTACATGCTGCACAACGAACCCCATTGAAAACGAATACCACTTTCTCTTCTATTGCCCAGCATATATGAATCTATGTCGCAAGTTCTTTCATCATAGTAACAAATTTAATATAGTAACAAATGGCAAACGTAAATGTATAATCAATTTAGGAAAATATCTATACCAAAGTATGAAATTACATAAGCAATTATTAAACACCCAAAAATGAAACTAAACACCTTTTTGGAACTTTTTTTGTATATACCTGTGTATTATCTTTGTGACATTGAAACTACTTATATTTACATATATATTTTATTTTTTATTCTTTTTTCTTTCTATTATAATTATGTTCCTTATATTCCTTATCTGTTGTGCAATAATCACCAAATATATTCTAACTACCTATGTTGGCTATAGCAAGTGATTTGCTTTGCCTTGTAATAAAGTAAAGTAAAGTAAAGTCTGATATACGTAAATATTGAAAGGAACCAAGATCTTTGGGTTATAAACATACATTTTAAGTTTCATCAAAATTGGATCAAAATTGTGACCTCCAATGTGTCCACAAGCTAAAAACAAGATTTTTCGTGTCGAAAAGTCTGCATGACAACTGTTAACATTGCATTTGACAGATATTTATTTAAAATTACATTTGACAGATTTCTATTTAATATTGCATTCGACATATATTTATTTAACATTACATTTGACAGATTTCTATTTAACATTGCATTTGACAGATATTTATTTAACATTACATTTGACAGATTTCTATTTAACATTGCATTTGACAGATATTTATTTAACATTACATTTGACAGATTTCTATTTAACATTGCATTCGACAGATATTTATTTAACATTACATTTGACAGATTTCTATTTAACATTGCATTTGACAGATATTTATTTAAAATTACATTTCTTTTAAAAAGTTTGTACAGTACTGATTGAGATAACTTGCAAAACATATTTCAAATTTAAAATCTGAAAATTTCTTGCACCACAATGAGCAAATATATAGAAATTTTAAACATTCAGTCTTGAATTCTGATTTTTCTCGCATCCACAAGATTTCATAAATTTGAACAGGATAAATGGGCAATTTGTAATAAAAAGAATTTAACAGGCACAAATGACCAATACCGCCAAGTTTTATAAAATCCTATCGCTTACATTTTCATATGGTTCTGTATTCAACCCAACTGAACTTTAATACTGAGTTTTTAGACATCATCCTGTCATTATCCTTCCCAACGACTTAATGAGTATTCACAAGAAAAGTTGGAAGGACCGGCCGATGCAGATGACAAAAAATATACTTCCACAACAGGGCTTGGGCCATTACATTGCCAATGTAATTAATTATATTACCATTTGATCATTACAATTACTTTCTCATCTTTAGCAATGTGATCAATAACCATTACCCCAGGCCTGGTCTATGTCACCTTATCAAAGCTACTACAATCTGCTCCAATTTTTGATCAAATGTTTCTTTACAAATTACTATGTTATAAGGTCTCTGGGTTTTGGTATAGGCTTGGTGTTTGGGCTTTGGGGATATGCCATCTAAGAGACCTATGCCCATTGGTACTGTTCAGATAAATGAAGGTGATCTCAGAAAATTTATGATGTATGTGAAGAAATAATTTTTCCAAGCATTTATCACGTTGATAAATATTTGTCTGTTGAAACTAATGTCTTTTTCTTTATACATGACCACAACCAGTTGACTTTTACAACTTTTGCTTTACTTTTTCCATTAACCTGAAAAATATGTTGAATTGATAATAAACACAATGTTCAATATTATAAGACAGGTGTATGTAAGTAGAAATTACGACTATAGAGACCCATTTCACTACATTGTGTAAGTATATCTGCATCTAATACTAGGATGGATAATGATAACAGCTACTCTGTACGACAATAAATTATTTATTTAACTCTAATTACTGATTTAATAACACTACTTATGTTGATTTATAATTTAAAACCTTACCGTTTCATTATTATTTAATATTATATGAGTTGCTATGTGTTTCTCATACACTGGTAATATATCACCATCATATCTATTGATTTTAGTTAAAGGAGCATATTGATAAACTAAATCATTTGGGAGTTTTCCTGTATATAAATACAAATTGTTGGGAAAAATATTCATTTATCTGACAAATAAATAATAAAAATAATAGAAACAATGCATTGAAGATGTGAATTCGAATTAAAAGCGACACCTTTTATTAGTACAAACATAACACATGACATTGTAAGTAATAAATAACAAGCCAACATTGAGGCTGATGTCCCCCGTCGAAATCCCCAAATAAATAGATGACACATATTAATTAATCGCATATCTATTTTTTTCCAAAGTATCAAGCAATCAAACTGATTATCAACTATACACTAAGTTTCATCACTCTCTATTAGATAGAATCTTGTTCCAAAGCAGGAAATTGCTTATCTCTGCTTAGCTTTAGCTTGATATGTTAATCATTGAACTCAGTCAAGACGAACATCTACATCAAGTTTAATCATTCTATCTCAATTAGAAGAAGAGTTGTTATGTTCCAAAGTCTTGACCAATCAAAATGCTTATTGCTCGTTAGCCTAAGCAGAAAATTCTCATCATCGAACTTAGTCAAGGTATTGATGTAATGAAACTATACACAAATTTTCATCACTCTCACTTAATTAGAACTAAAGTTATCGTGTTCCAAAGCATCAACCAATCAAATTGCTTATCTCTGCTTACCCTAAGCAGAAAATGCTGATCTTCGCAGTTCATCTAGGCATTGACCTCATAAACCCCTACACTAAGTTTGAACATTCAAGCTTAATTAGAAGGAGAGCTATTGTGTTCCAAAGTCTCGGCCAATCAAATTGCTTATCGCTCTGCTTACCCTGAGCAGAAAATGCTCATCATCGAACTTAGTCAAGATATTGATTTAATGAAACTATACACCAAGTTTCATCACTCTCATTTAATTGGAACTAAAGTTATCGTGTCCCAAAGCATCAACCAATCAAATTGCTTATTTTTGCTTACCCTAAGCAGAAAATGCTTATCTTCACACTCCATCAAGGCATTGACCTAATAGAAACCTACACCAAGTTTGAACATTCTAGCTCAATTAGAAGGAGGGTTATTGTGTTCCAAAGTCTCGACCAATCAAATTGCTTATCGCTCTACTTACCCTGAGCAAAAATGCTCATCATCGAACTTAGTCAAGGTATTTATGTAATGAAACTATACACCAAGTTTCGTCTCTCTCACTTAATTAGAACTAAAGTTATCGTGTCCCAAAGCATCAACCAATCAAATTGCTTATCTCTGCTTACCCTAAGCCGAAAATGCTCATCTTCGAACTCCATCAAGGCATTGAAATTGACCTAATAAACACCTACACCAAGTTTGAACATTCTAGGTTAATTAGAAAGAGAGTTATTGTGTCCCAAAAAGTGTACGGACGGACGGACGGACGGACGGACGGACGGACGGACGGACGGACAGACAGACAGACAGACAGACAGATTTTAATAGTCCCCTGCTTTCTTCGAAAGGCGGGGGACAATAAAAGTGTCCAATGTGCATCAGATTGCAGTAATACAAACTTTACTCAAACTGTAACACTGTATTATTCTAGCATGTATCTTTAAACACAAAAAAAAATGTTTGCATGTATATAACCTGCTGAAATGTGGCAAAATGCAAAGTCCAAGCTAAGGTAGTTATCGATAGTATTTAAAAGACAAAATATGGTAGCTATAAATGCATTAAATACAAAGTTTGGAAATAAGTCCTATTTCATCAATATAGTTTCTAATATTTAAAATATTCAATACATTTGTGTATTTGCAAACCTATAACATTACTATTCTTATAAGTAAAGGATACGCTATAATAAAACGTCTCAGTTCTTTATATTTACTAATTTCTGGGGGTAGAATAATCTTACATCCTTTAAAAACATCTGGTAATTTCTGAAAGAAAACAAAAATAAAATTCTGAAAATGACTCAGTAATCAATTAGGTATAAAACAATGGGTCATTTTAAATTTAGATAAGTTGAGTATGTGTGGTGTTGACTTGATACATTATACATTATTACCATAACCTGTTGTATATGTGGTGATCACATTACTTGTTGTATATGTGGTGATCAGATATATCATACTATTACTACCATTACTTGTTGTATATGTGGTGATCAGATATATCATACTATTAATACCATTGTAGTAGTGGTGGTGATCAGATATATCATACTATTAATACCATTGTAGTAGTGGTGGAGATTAGAGATACTTACACTATTACTACCATTACTTGTGGTAGGCTTGGTGGAACTTTTATGATCATAATTAGCTTTATGAGATGGACTTGTCTGATAGCAACTGGCACCATACATACATTCCGCTTTGATCTATATTAATATACATGAATTGCAATTTATTCATATTGTACACAAAACTTTAACTTTATTAACAAAACCAATTAAAAACTCTTTTCACCATATTAAAGAGACATAATGATGAACTCAATGATGATGAGTTTTCCCCTTTTATAAAAGTCAATATTGATGTCATTACAAAGCATGCCAAATAAATATCAACAGAAAACCACTTATTACTTTGTATGTTTTAAGTATCAATGATTCTAATGTGTGGGCAAAATGTCCCTTCCCTGTCGATGTCTTTAAGTAACAACTTGAGTAACTCACATAACTTTTTGAAAACCTGTGTACAGGGCCCCTGGTTTAGTTCATTTCAGTTTTAAAATTCATCAAAAAATTAGATATGAACAAGATTATATCAAAATAAACTTATATATGGTCAAAAAACAAACGTGTCTTTATCTTTCTGTCAACAAAAATATGAGTGTTTAATTTTCACCTTTTTAGCTGGTGTAACAACTGACTCAGAGCTATCAATTCGACGTTTACTTGGTGTTTTAACTGGTGTTGATAGTGTGATATTACTGTGGTTAGAATCTTCATCATCTATCTCAATCTTTATATTACTACCATTACTACTAGTACTAGCATTCTGTTTCATTAATTTACCTGTACCACCTATGTCTGTCTTCTCTTTAGATTTATCAAATAGTTTCTACAAAACAGTACATAATTATATATTTAATGTCTTTTCTTTACATTTTTCTATGAAATGATGAGTAGGAGCGTCATTGCAATTCCACACTGAATTTGTTTAAATAAAATAGATTTTATGGTACTAACTTCTTTAAAGATACATTATATAAGATTTAGATAAAGAGCTAGCCATGATTCTTGCTACAATAGTATCATGTGAAATGAATAATTTAAAAATATCATTCAAATTACTCTATTACGAGCTAAGATATTAGCCTTTGAAGGTTTGACAAGACGTGTGCAATAATTTCAACCACTGTACTGGTTGTTCGAAGCTAAGTCTCGCTCCTCGATTTTTAGATTAAATCAAAATATGTCTGAACCGTTCTAATCTATTTAATCTATTTAAAAATGCCTGTTTCAGTTTTCATACAAAGACTGTTCTTTAGTGAAATAATGCATTGTGTTATCTATTACCGGTATATGTATTCTGCAATTTGCTATAATCCACTGTACACATAATAATGATATTTTGTGTCACCCATTATAATGTATGTGCAATCGGTTATAACAGATTGAGTCATTCTGCAACAGCTATAAATATACAATATAAGGGATTGCCATTATATTACCTTGAGCAATATTCCCCTGCACTGAGCATATAGTTTCTGTACAACCAAAATGTGTTAGCTACCGTTATGTGAAAACAATACATATTAAAATCTTCAAGTCACCTTTAACCTAGGTAAATCAGTTGCATTCTCCCAATTTTTGTCATCTCGTATTTTTTGTACCCTTGGAAATCTGATAGAGATTCCATCAGCTGTATGGATTTCAGCTTTACTAAATTCTGCACCAATAATTTCCCACACAGGGGCAGTCTTCGGATCGGCCACAACAAAATCTGGTACAACAGTTTTCTTTATATTTAACCAACCAGGAACACGTGCCACATCTTTACTAATTTTAACCATATCTAATTCTGTTTGTAATCTTTCCAAAGTTTTATCATCTAGACCATTTCCTATTTTAGTTACAGTACACCATTTTTTACTCTTTGGGTCATAAACACCCAGTAGAAATATAGACATTAAACCACCTGGAAATAACAGTAGTAATATAAACATTAAAGATGCATTAGGTAAGATTTAGATATAAAACTAACAGTTCATTCTATAATAGTTTAAAAATAGATAATGAAAAATGAATATATTGAAAGTTTCAGTCAAATTACTTCACTCTGAGCAAAGTTTTTGCTGTTTGGAGAACAGCAAAGTCTTGATTGTCATTGCCACGATAATAAACGACGATTAGTCCATTGAAAATCGCGAGCATCCAATAATCTAGAGAGTTTATTATAGTTTTGTCAAGCTAATAAATGTCTAATAATTTACATAACATTTGAGACCAAAGGAAAGACCTGCAATAGGTATATTTAGACCTTATATAATGCATCTTTAAACCACATGGAAATAATGTTCACATTTATAACAATACATCTATGTCTATTTAAACATACATTATGCAAGAGCTAAATCTGTCTACTGCAGGTCTTTCTTTAGGCCTGAAATGTTATCTAAATTATTAATTAGACATTAATTAACCTATCCAGACCATAATCAACTCTAGATGGCATCGATAGCCTGCGATCTGAAGTGGATTATGAGCCGATTTACTGCATAACTTTCCTTCTCGATTAAACGATTAAATAGATAATTGAGACTATGCTGTTTATCGTACTGACTTTAGTAATGATGACCGAGGCTAGGCAGAAATTTCATTCGCTTAGTTTTCGGTTTATAGTGGATCAATTTGAAAGAAATTTTGAGCAAATTGCCTTTACGTTATCTAGTTTTTAACTATTACTATTATAGTGAGAACTGCCAACTCGTTATCGAATCTCCCATAATGTATCTTTAAATGTAGATACCGATTTTGTCTGCAGCACATTTTTTGTTATCAGCCCTTTATAAACATTCTACAGCCAAAAGAAAATATGATATTTATTTTTTAATATAATTGTTGACTAATCAAATAGCATATTGGCAAATAATTATTAAAATGATCAATCGTAATGTAGTTTATGTCTGTCTAAAGTTTAAGACCTAAACGGCGTCTAATCTAAAAAAATTATTTTAATCTTTAAATTGACTATAAATTACCATTCCAGGTCTTATTTTTGTTCACTTGAAATACAGAAAATGTTTATATAAAATGATGTTTTAACTGACCTTTATTGCCTGTACCATAATAAGCACCTAATACAACCAGATCAGCTGAATCTGCCATACTACCTTCATGTAAATAATCTTTCTTCACTTTTAACCAATGTCTTTTACCAGGTTCATATAAACTCTGTTGACAATAGATAATATTCAAAAAAAACATTTAAACACTTCTGACTGATCCTATGATGCTTGTACCCCGGGTGGTTTCTGTGATGTCCACAGTACATTGTGAGTCACACAAGGTCATTATGTTTATAGTTCATATTTGACAATGGAGGAATATGAAAGTCTGAATGATCAGCTCGCAGCCATACACATTCATCATAAAATGGTCATGTATGTATGATCGTGGTGATTAGCTAAACAGATTTCCTTTAACTGTATGCTCTTTACTCCTTGGAGTGTTCCATTTTAATTTATCCCAAGCTATACAACTGGGCCAGGCCATTGTGCTAGTGTCTATCTGATGTTACTTCCCGCTGCCGCGGGGTAAAATAAGTATTTCTAACTTACATTGACATCTTTAAGTACTAATCCTTCTAATCCCTCTTGAAATACTTTATCCATTAATTCCTGCAGATGTACCACTTTCTGTAAAACATTACAATAATCTTTTAAGACATATCAAACATAGATGGGGGCTTGTCTGGCCCTTTTATATGTCCCTCAAGCAGAAAAATTGTCTATGCTGAAGATAAATCTCAAGTTTAAAAACAAAATTGTGTGGCAAATATAAAACATATAAATTAACAGTTGACAGATTATAATACATATATATATCAACAAGCCAACAGTGAGGCGGATGTTCCCCCGCCAAAAACTCAAAATAAATAGATGACACATATTAATTAATTGAATATTTATCTTTTTCAAAAGTATAAAGCAATCAAACTGATTATCAACTATACACTAAGTTTCGTCACTCTCCATCAGTTAGAATCAAAGTTATCTTGTCCCAAAGCATCGACTAATGGAATTGCTTAGCTCTGCTTTGCCATTGCGGGAATTGTTAATGATTTAACTCAGTCAAGACATTCATCTAATGAATGTCTACACCAAGTTTGAACATTCTACCTCAATTAGAAAGAGAGTTATTATATGTTCCAAAGTCTCAACAAATCAAATTGCTTATCGCTCTGCTTACCCTGAGCAAAAAATGCTCATCATCAAACTTAATCAAGGTATTGATGTGATAAAACTATACACCAAGTTTCATCACTCTCACTTAATTAGAACCAAAGTTATGGTGTCCCAAAGCATGAACCAATCAAATAGCTTATCTCTAGGCAGAAAATGAACGCCTACACCAGGTTTGAACACTCTACCTCAATTTGAAGGAGAGTTATTGTGTTCCAAAGTCTCAACCAATCAAATTGCTTATCGCTCTGTTTGCATTGAACAGAAAATGATCATTATCGAACTTTGTCAAGGCACTGATGTAATGAAACTATACACCAAGTTTCATCATTCTCACTTGATTAGAACTAAAGTTATCGTGTCCCAAAGCATCAATCAAACTGCTTATTTCTGCTTACCCTAAGCAGAAAATGCTCATCTTCGAACTCCATCAAGGCATTGACCTAATAAACATCTACACCAAGTTTGAACATTCTAGCTCAATCAGAAGGAGAGTTATTGTGTCCCAAAAAGTGTGACAGACAGACGGACGGATGGACGGACAGACATATTTAAATATCCCCTGCTGAGAAGTGGTATCAGATGTTCTAACCTTGTCATTGCTGATAGATTGTTTTGGTATTAAATATAACAACATAAACATGTCATTCTATTTGCCAAAGTTTGATCATGTACAATACTCACAGTTATATGTTGATATTCTGAAAATTTTACTCGATTTTTAACTTCTGTCATATTTTCTTGTAATACTCTTCTTCTTTCCTTAAGAGTTCTAAAGAGAAATAGTTGCCATATAATTTTAGGGTCCACTAAATGTTATTACCAGTATATAAAAGCCAACACTAATAAAAACAAATTGAAATATAAGAAAATCACAAATGAGGACCAAACAAATGTTTGTTTGTCATTTTTCGAAGACCAATTATTCACCTATATTTTCGTTGTGCAACAGCTGTCCATATTAGTGATGGTTGTAAAAGTTGTCTTTTTGAACAGTATTATAATTAATTGAACTACTATTTAAACTGTATATATAGTACCAGTTGTGAAGCCTATATAATTGTATGCTCTATGAGTGGAGTTAGGCACCATATAAGTAGACATTTTTATTATTTGCAAAATCATATTCTAATATACAGGAGCAAGTTTCTGCTTTGCATAGAATTTGTCTGCGATATCACTATTGTGAAAGTGACATTACATAACCAACATACTACATTATTATTATTTACACAAATAGACCATAGTTTTTTATATCCCACAACAAATGTTTCTGAAATATGCCCATTCAATATTCTAGTCAAAGAGTCTAATTTCCTGACTGCTCAACTGCCACAGTGCCCTATATTGTGTTTGTTGTGTAGAATACAAAACAAGTGGTTGCCATGTAAGATACGCCCACATTTTGCAAGAGATGGACAGAGAACAAGCTAAATAAAAGAAGCCATTTTTCGTACAATCAGGGGCCTTATTCCGGGAAGTTAAGGTCCGATATGTGTGAATATACGGGAACTGAGATCTTCGCGATATAAAAGTATATTTTAAGTTTCATCATCAAAATCGGATAAAAATTGTGACCATTAGCGGGTCCAGAACCTTGGTATTACATACTTTTACACTATTGCGTACAAGGATGGCCATTTTGTCAGGCAGTTTCGTTCCGATTATTACAAAATTTGAACTCAACCTTTACCATGGTGTAATGGTGATATATATAAATGGTTTTTAAAATCGGATAAAAATTGTGACTTCTAGAAATCCACAAGCTAAAAACTTTTTTTTTCGTACAATCAGGAGCTACAATCCAGGAAGATAGACTCTGATATACGCGAATAGCGAAAGGAACAAAGATCTTTGGGTTATACATTTCAAGTTTCATCTAAATCGGATAAATACTGTGACCTCCAGAGTGTCCACAAGCTAAAAATGTGATTTTTGTACAACATGAGGTTTTGATCCAATACATGCTAATATTGAAAGGAATAAAATCTTTTTGAGATAAACCTATATTTCAAGTTTCATCAGAATCGGATAAGAACTGTGACCTGTAGAGTGTCCACAAACAAACTGTGGACGGATGTCCGGAGGGATGGACAGAGGCGACGACAATATACGTTCACATGAAAATGTGGGCATATAAAAACTTACTTTTCCATTAAGTTTTCACCATTAATATGTAAACAATCAAAAACAAACAAACAAACAGTAGCATCTTGAAAAGCAGCTTTCTGAAATACAACCAAATTGTAACTTTAAATTAACATCTCTCAAAAACACTGATCAATTTCTGCAACAGTCAGTAAAATTTTTCTAATGACCATCTGCAAAAATTGACCATCTGATTCAAAACATGTTTTTTTTTTATAGTGAGCAAACTTTCAAGTTTTATTTTTTATTGCAATAAAGAGAGTTTAGTTCATGAAAATCGACATGGTTTAATACTCATAATGTTGGCAAATATTTTGCACGAGTCCTCAAGGATTTGCTTTAGGTCTGTCAAAATCTCACAAATAAATAAGTCTTGTTTAGTCGATATGGAAATATGTATATGGCTTTATTAAACTTTGAGATACAAAACCACTTTACAGTTATCTTACATAATCAAAATTACTGGTCCATTATTCGTCAAAAATTGAAGGTATATTGATGTCGAGACAAAAAAGACATTCATAGTAGGTACCCAAAAAACCATATACTTTACTAGAAAATGTATACTTCTGAAGAATATAACTTTTAATGCAGGAGCAATTACTTTAACTATGGAAGGAGTGGCTGAACATGCTAGCAAAAACACACCAAGCTGTCGAACAGTGAATATATTATGCTATATACGTCAATTACTTTTTTTTGTCATTAGAAATAGCATATATTCAGATGAATATAACTTCTTTGGGTCAAATAGATGACCAATAATATACTTAATGATAATGGCTTTGCAATGCAAAGCTGAATTATAGATAAAATGTGTCCTACCTTATGTACTCCCAGTGTACCAAATGGTAAAGGATTTCCCGTGTTAGTATCAACCAATAAAACTTCAGCATCTAATATCAGATCATTACCTGTTGGAAATGCTTTAGGAATAAAATCCTTAAAATGAGCAACCTGAAATCATAATATATTTGAAAGAATATTTTTTTACAGAATGATGGCACAAGAATCTTTATGATTGGCAATGTAATATATTAAGAGTTTGATGTTTCAAATGCATTATTGCCAACACTCATTTTAGGTCATTTTGAAAGTAAGATCTTTTATTTACACTCAACCCTGCTGTATAAATTATGTCTGTAGTGTTCTGACCAATTCTATTTAAACACCAGTAACTATTTAGTTTCATTTGTCACTCACTTTGTGTGTGTGTTTTCTACTTTTTGTTGAAATAAACTTGGTGACATATTTAGTTCTGGTCGTCACTCAGACTTTCTATTATATAAAAATATTTAGGACTCTTGTTAATCCTGTTCTAATTTGTTACGTGGTAATTGATTGGTTGTTAAAGCTTTGTTACCCAATTGTAATTTGGCACAGAAAATGTTGTTCAGTCCGCAAGAAAAGTGTTGATATGTCAAAGAAAAAGTAATCCATGACTTGCTCAGTAAGACAGCTCTGCAGTTGTGAATGCAACAAGTGAGAATGGATATTGAAAATAAATCCTCAAGATTCTCACTGAAATACAATGATTGAAATCCAGAAGAATCTAGTTATTATTCCAGATAATGAGACTGCTAATATCATCGGAGGGTACCAAAAATAATCTTATTATCAACCTCAAATTTGTCTCTTTTTTTTACGTTTTGACAGCCTGTTCTTAAATATTTGTTTACTAAAGTACATACTTTGTGTGCTAACACTGGTTTTAAACTACGACTAAAATAACGGAATTCATCTCCTTTTTTGTGAACCTGCACTCTTTCTCCATCATACTTGATTTCAGCATAAAAACCATTGGGACATTTCCTCATAGCTTGTTCTACTGATCGACATGCTTCAGCCTAAATAATAAAACAAAGAAATATCAAATCTATTATCAACCACATGGAACTGAGTAAACTTCAGTTATTAGCACTTTGAAAATCTACACTAGTATTAAGAAGCATGGAATTTTAGCATTATATTGTATTCAAAAGTCAAAAGAGAGACCTACTAATTCATCGCTGAGATAAAGATGTTTAAGAATTATTACAAAAGTCATTTTCGCACATATTACACCTGAGCCTTACCCTATAATATAGGTGTAATATGTGTGAAAATATTATACACAGTTCCAAATCTGAAACAGTTTCAGAGCAACATATGCATTTCGATCTTTATACTTTGTGGTTTTCAAGAGTTCAGTAAACTCCAGTTAAAATGCTGGAGTTTTGATAATTAGATGATTCTAGCTGTAGGTTCGTGAATATGTGTCTATTGGCTACAAACATGTGCAATAATAATCAACTACATTTATATTGTTAAAATTGACAATTCTCTGTAAGAAAAATATCCACAACAGAAAGCAACAAGCAGAGGAATGTGAATCAGTAGATGCCAGCAATTAGGTGATAAAACCTATGAAAAATATACTTACCAACATAGGTAAAACAGGTGTCATTAAACAGGCCTTTATACTTAATTTCTTCACAATACCTGGTTTACCATTCTCTTCAGCTTCTTTATGATTTGTTAAAACCCGATCTACTACATCACGTAGATTACGAGATGCTTGAAAAGCCTCATAAGCATTAGGATCCAAACCATCTAATCTAAAATCAACAAGTACCCATTACTCTATTTCCTATATTTGCGATACAAGATTTGTTGATAATAGTTGGGATACATTATTTTCTATTAATACATTCACTTAATTCTCACTCAACCACAAGGCTGTGATCCCTGGGTTTTTTTTCTTCTTTTTTGTTGAAGTAAAGATATTTTTATTATTGCTATTATAAATGCTTGTATTTAAACCAAGAACATAAATTTGTCAATAATCACACAGTCACTTTGATCTTAGTATAAACTACTATAAACAATACCAAGTTTACCGACTGCTTAAATTTGGCTATCTGCTAATATTATTTGTTGGACAAAGCATGGCAGTAAGTGCCAAAAGTACCATAATGCCTCCTTTCCTTATTCTATTAAAAATTATCCCCTTTTATATTACCATTTTCATGACATTAACACATTCACCTTCTTTATCATATTTTCCATATGTATGAACACTATGTATATGTCTATTAAATAGTATATAAACTTATGTCTACCATTTTACTTGCAAAAATGTCCAGACTAAGGCCACTTTTTTGTCATTAAATAAAAGAAGGTGCAAAGTCAAACTGGGTACCAAGTGAAGCCGTGGAATGGCAGTTGGTTAGAAATGCATACTTACATATGTTTAGCACCTGAATTAATTCGTAAGTCATGTTTTATAAGTCGAACTACCATTTTTAAATCATTTGAAGTACATCTGGAAATGAAAATAAAATCCTATGACTTTAAAGAATTAATGCATCATTTAGTGCTACAGAAATCCCTTGCCAACTGCAATATTATGAAAGTTTAATCTCTAATAGGAATATCAGGCCAAAAATGGTTCAATTGTGTTTAGTATTTAAAAAGTTAGGATAAATTGAAATTTCATCGAACTATGCTGCTTGCATGTAACAAGAAGTGGTGGAGAAATCTGATGGACCTAGTATAAATCTCATTGAATCCAAGCCGGGAAATTATCTACCATTGATATTTTCATTTATTCATTGAATGTTAAAAAATCATTCTCAGTACATATTTAGTGTAGATTTAGCCGTAAGAAATTTGATATTTTAGCGAAAATGCAAATGAAGCATCAAGCCTTTAAACATTAAATAGAAAGATGGAACTTATTTATTACTAGCACATCTAACTTTTTATAAATTACTTTTCATCCTGCTTAATCTGAGTAGAAAATGTTCATTAACGAACAAAGTCAAACATCATCGACAAATCAAATTGCTTATCTCGGCTTACCCTCATTATCTATACATACACCAAGTTTGAACATTCTACATTCTATCGTGTTCCAAAAAACGGGCACCAGACAGACATGAAATAAAGTATGCTTACTCTTCCTTCAACTTCTCATTTATTTGGGAAGTTGATATAGATAAAAGTAGTTGCTGTAAATGTATGTTTGTATTTAAAACATCTTTATTCAAAAAGGTAATGTTCTTTCACACATATAACGGGAAAAAACAAATATACCTTTTAGCTATTTTTGTTAATATTTTTTGTTGTTCATCTTCTTTCGTCACTTTTGACAATTCTTCTAAAACTGAATCAACCTTCAAGTAAAATACAGTTAATCCTTACATAGCATAGTTATAACATTACAGTGGAATTAGCTAATTGGAGGTCTTCACTAGTGGATAAAAATACAATTGTAAAATTTGATGTCAATGTGTCAAGTCTTCACTGAGATACATACATTTTAATTCTCAATTTCTAGTTGTTTATGCTAAGTAATTCAGTCCTTGGGTCTAAAGTTATTTGAATTTGTTACTACTCAGAATAAAATACATTTCTGAAAGTGATAATTCCTCTTTAAATAACACCAGAAGGAAGATGAAAAATTAAAGACAGACAGCATTCCTATCAGACTAGACTAGAATATTGTAATAGTCTTCTCACCGGCCTACCCTAAAATCAAATAAATTGCCTTCAGCAAATCCAAAATCTCACAGCAAGAATGGTCACAAGATCTCCATATCATTGTCACATAACCCCAGTTCTCCAAAACGGTCAGTGGTTACCAGTCAGTGTCCGGCTAGACTTTAATGTACTTTGCCTAACACATCAGTGTGTCAGTGGAGAGGCTCCTGATTACCTCTGCAAATTAATTCAACGGTATATTCCAAAAAGACAGTTGCGTTCAGAAAATCTCAATCAGCTAGTGGTACCAAAGTGGAAACTTGCTACCGTTGGACAAAGAGCGTTTGCTATTGCTGCCGCTGAAAGATGGAATGCACTTCCAGTTGAACCCCGTTTTGTGACTTCTTTATCAATCTTCAAATCTCGATTAAAAACTCATCTTTTCAAAACTCACTACAGAAATTGACCAAAAAACCCCCAAACATAAGAGCCAAAAGACTTTTGTATAGTTGTATGCGCTATGAGCACGATTTGTGGATTTGGTGCTATATAAATGGACATATTATTATTATTTTATTATTATTTATCATTTAAAATTGTCATCTTAAATCATACATTTGTTTTACCTGTTGTAATGAAAGAGAACTTTTCTTCAGTGGAATTAGGACAGAACTCTGTTCAAAATAATCTTTTATAGTTTCAGCTACATCTCCCTTTGAAATAAAATAATTGTTCCCACAGTTAAACATACATTATGCACTAGCTAAATCTGCCTATTGCAGGTCTTTCTTTAGGCCTGAAATGTTATCTAAATTATTAATTAGACACTAATTAACTGGTCCAGGCCATAATCAACTCTCGATGTCATCGCTAGCCTGCGATATTTACTGGATTTGAATACATTTTATAATGTATGATTTGATGTCAAAATGGATAATCGAGACTTTGGTTTTTTTTATCGTACCAACTCTAGTAATGGTGATCGAGGTTAGGCCGAAAATTCAATCGCTAATATCTCGGTTCAGTGTGGAGCAATTTGACTGAAATTTTCAGCATATCGGTATTCTATTCACGTTATCTATTTGTAAACTATTATAGCGAGAAATGTAGCTCTTTATCTAATCTCCCATAATGCCCCTTTAATGTATTGTATATAAAAGCTGAAAAGTGAACAAAAAGAATTAACACAAATGATATAAGAAATAATATCAGTATGTTCATGAATTCACCAATTATTGAAAGACAATCTTTAAAAACTTACCTTGTCTAGGTCTTCAACCATTTCTGTTAAAGGACTTCCAAAAATCTTAAATAAAAGGAATTAAATTTTTTCTTTATGTGGGAATTAATTATAATGCACAATGATATTTGTTTTTGTCTTAAAATATTACTGACAGACCTTCAACAGGTATATATAATCCTTGTCTAATAATAACAGATATATGATCTGCATCATTCTGTATTTAACTGAAGTCATACTTTAGTAATTTTAAGTATTACAAATTTAAAACTTCATGGCAACATAAATGTCATTATTTTAGAATCATGAGAGTATTTTTAGTTCATTTTCTGTAGACTTTGTGCCAAGGTAAGTGTGGTGTATGCAATCCATTAGTTTATTTACCTGACTGAATAATTTAACAAGTTGTTTATTGTTGAGATTATAAACAGATTTAACAACACCAGGTAATAACAACTTTATCAACAAATATAAACTTCCTTTAAAACCATCTAAAAATAACAAAACACAAACTATTCATTTCAAAATATTTATAGAAATATTTACCACATTGCTTTTGTTAATCAGTTTACCAAATATAATACATCATAAGCATCTGTTTTCAATTTAATCTGTGTGTATAGTACACACTGTGTACCATGGGACAGTCCTATAACATTTCCACAAGGTCTGTGTGTGATTAATGTGCATCATCGGTGTTAAATAGTCTTTCAACAGACAATTAAGCTAAAATTCAAAGATTATAACCTGCAGTCGTTTCCCTTTAATTGCTGAAATGGAAGATCTATGTTTTTTTCATAAATAATAATATATGCCTATCCTGCCATCACATAAATCAAATTCTGAGAATGAAATGTTAATGAGATGATATATAATACCTCCACTGTTTCCTTTACAAATATAATCCGACACAATCTTTGTTTTACCAAGATAACTGTTTTCCTCAGCTATTTCAGCACATAATCTTCGAAATTGTCGAAATGAATTGTCTTTCTCTGCTTCCGGTGAATCATCAGGATTATCATCAATTTCATCTTTTATTTTACTAGTTGATGGCTTTGCTGTAAGTAAGAAAACAAGCCAACAGTGAAGATGATGTCCCCTGCCGAAATCCCAAAATAAATAGATGACACATATTAAAGGACAATATTGGTGTCAGTCATTATAAAATATGTGATAAAGCTCGTTAAATACATCCCAAATATAATTTTAACACAGAGATCATTGCTACGAGAGATGTGTAACAAGCATGTGAAGAAACGGGAAGTGACGTCAAACATGAGTGGTCCTTCTATATAACTGACTGAAGTAATGAGCGGTAACATACAAACGATCGAATTTCATTTCACTGATAATTCCGTTGAAGATGAAAAGTTGTTATATGAGACGATGAGAGGATATCTGACAATTCAAAAAAAGAATTGGCTGTCAGTAGATAAAAGATAACGAACAAATTAGAAAAAGTCCGTGCATTACCATGTTTTATTAAGAACAGAATGAATAAAAACGGGGGAATGCACAGGATTTTTCTACTTTTTCTCGTGTCCCTTATCTAGTGACAGCCAATTCTAATTTTGAATTGTGAGATACCCTCTTACCGTCCCATATAATAACTTTTCAACTTCAACGGAATTATCAGTGAAATGAAATTGGATCGTTTGTCTGTTACCGCTCGTTAGTTCAGTCAGTTATATAGAAGGACAACTCGTGTTTGTCATGTTTGGCGTCTCTTCCCGTGCTTGTTACACATCTCCTGTAGCAATGATCTCTGTGTCAAAATTATATTTGGAATGTATTTAACCAGTTCTATCACATATGTAATAATGACTGACACCAATATTGTCCTTTAATTAATCGCATATCTATTTTTTTCAAAAGTATCGAGCCACCAAATTGATTATCACCTATACGTGAAGTTTCATCACTCTCCATAAGATAGAATTGAAGTTATCTTGTCCCAAAGAATCGACCAATGAAATTTCTGAGATCTGATTGGCTTAAAGTTAATCATTGGAGTCAGTCACCTAATGAATTAGAAGGAGAGTTATTGTGTTCCAAAGTCTCAACCAATCAGATTCAAGTCTCTACTTTGCGTAAGCAGATAATTCTCATCATCAAACTTTGTTAAGGTATTGATCGATGTAATGTAACTATACACAAAGTTTCACCACTATCACTCAATTAGAATCAAAGTTGTCGAGCTCCAACCAAAGTCTTGACCAATCAAATTGCTTATCGCTCTGCTACTGAAAGCCAAAAATGCTCATTATCGAACTTAGTCAAGGTATTGATGTAATGAAACTACACCAAGTTTCATCACTCTCACTTAATTAGAACCAATTTTTAGTGCCCCAAAGCACCAACCAATCAAATTGCTTATCTCTGCTAAGCCTAACTTCGAACTCCATCAAGGCATTCACCTAATAAACACCTATACCAAGTTTGAACATTCTACCTCAATTAGATTTAATAGTCCCCTGCTTTCTTCAAATGTTGGGGGACAAAAATGGTCTGTGAGTAAAGTATTTTATTTTTGACTTTTGTATCCAAGGGCCAGTGTTGTGACAAAATCATGTCCCTTTACCTTGCCCGTAGTAGTTGACAAATCAGGATTGAAATAATTTATAAAAGCAACCCACTCTTTCTGTAATACTTCATACATGGTAAATTTATGGAAAAAGGAGCAATTGGGTAAAGTGTTTATAATACTGGCTTCAAGTACATATGATTCTGATTTGACCATTTTATGTACTCTTTAAATTAAGTGTAAGCCAGCTTGTTTCATTTGCTTACTGTGTTGACAGCAGAACACACAATCGATTGTATCTGTACACTTGCTTTTATGAAGTAACATTTTCAATTAAAGTTAGATTGTCGTCCCACAAAGTGTGACAGACGGATGGACAGACCCATTTTAATAGTCCCCTGCTTTATCGAAAGGCGGGGGACAAAAATATGGTTTATTAGTGAAAAGAATTTGCCCTGATGATTGAGATAGCACAATGTGATGTGTGTTTCAATAAAAGAAAGAACAAAAAGAAACATTAAAAATAATGTTAGTGAACAGTAAATAAATTCAACTAAGTAACGCCCGACACATAAATTCATTCAGTTTTAACAATTTAGTAAATAGTTATGTTAAATTTGATCCAAATCATTTCTTATTACACTTAAAATGTTAAATTTTATTTCAAGACAATTTTGAGACTGTCAAAAGTATAGATAATGGAATACATACCTGTATGATCAGTTGATGTTGTTGCTTTAGATGTGGTGTTTGTTTTAGTTGGTGAAAAGGGCAGTTTACCTTGAGCTGGTGGTTTTCTTTTCACCGGGGTCTTAGCTTTTGTGCCAGCTTTAGCTTGAAAGTCTGAAAATATTAACGAAATAATAAGCTATCTATAGCTATCATTTAGAAGGCTGATCTGCAGCAAATTAGACCAATATCATTACTTTATTGGTACAATCTGACAAGAAATCTCCCTGTCATAATATTTTACATTACCAGGCTAGAAATATATAAGAAAGAAGGGGGGTTGGATGGCCGAATGGTTAGCATGTGGGCGCTGTATCATGCGGTCTGTCATTGAGTCAACTGGTGGGGTTTTGATTCCCTGGTTGTACGTGACAAGGGGTAGGGTTGCCTGTTGTTGGTTTTCTCCGGGTCCTCCGGTTTCCTCCCACTGCTAAAGACCCCTACGCACAAGCAAATTATTGAAATAAAATTGAACCATGTGTTAGTCCCGAAATGACCTAGTTTGTGTTGAGTGGACGTTAAACCCCATTTCTCTCGCCCTTACTCTTATAAGAAAGAACAAGCCAACAGTGAGGCTGATGTCCCCCGCCGAAATCCCAAAATAAATAGATGACACATATTAATTAATCGCACTTTTATTTTTTTCAAAACTATATAGCAATGAAACTATACACTAAGTTTAATCGCTCTCTATCAGATAGAATCAAAGTTATCTTGTCCCAAAGCACCGACCAATGAAATTGCTTAGCTTTAGCTTGAAATGTTAATCATTGAACTCAGTCAAGACATTCACCTAATGAACATCTACATCAAGTTTAAACATTCTACCTCAATTAAAAGCAGAGTTGTTATATTCCAAAGTCTTGACCAATCAAATTGCTTATCCCTCCTTAGTCTAAACAGAAAATTCTCATCATTGAACTTAGTCAAGGCAATGATATAATGAATCTATACTCGGCGTTTCATCATTCTCACTTAAAAAAAATAAAGTTATCGTGCCCCAAAGCATCATCCAATCAGATTGCTTATCTCTGCTTACCGTAAGCAGACAATGTTCATCATTGAACTCCATCAAGGCATTCACCTAATGAATGCCTACACGTGAATGCCTACACCAAGTTTGAACATTCTAGCTCAATAAGGAGAGTTATTGTGTTCTAAAGTCTTCACCAATCAAATTACTTACTTTTGAGCAGCAGAAAATGCTCATCATCAAACTTAGTCAAGGTATTGATGTAATAAAGCTAAACACCATGTGTCCTCACTCTCACTTAATTAGAACTAAAGTTATCATGTCCCAAAGCATCAACCCATCAAATTGCTTATCTCTGCTTACCCTAAGCAGAAAATTTTCATCTTCGAACTCCATCAAGTCATTCACCTAATAGACACCTACGCCAAGTGTGAACATTCTAACTCAAATAGAATGAGAGTAGGTGTGTTACAAAGTCTTGACCAATCAAATTGCTTATCTCTCTGTTTACTCTGAGCAGAAAATGCTTATTATCAAACTTAGTCAAGGTATTGATGTAATAAAACTATACACCAAGTTTCATCACTCTCACTTAATTAGAACTAAAGTTATTGTGTCCCAAAGCATCAACCAATCAAATTGCTTATCTCTGCTTATCCTAAGCAGACAATGCTCATACTCGAATTCCATCAAGGTATTGACCTAATAAACACCTACACCAAGTTTCAACATTCTAGCTCAATTAGAAGGAGAGTTATTGTGTTCCAAAGTCTTGGCTAATCAAATTGCTTATCACTCTGCTTACCCTGGGCAGAAAATGCTCATTATTGAACTTAGTCAAGGTATTGATGTAATGAAACTATTCACCAAGTTTCATCACTCTCACTTAATTAGAATTAAAGTTATCTTGTCCCAAAGCATCAACCAATCAAATCGCTTATCTCTGCTTACCCTAATCTGACAATGCTCATCTTCAAACTCCATCAAGACATTGACCTAATAAACACTTATACCAAGTTTGAACATTCTAGCTCAATTAGAAAGTGAGTTATTGTGTCCGAAAAAGTGTAACGCACAGACAGACAGACGGACGAACCCATTTTAATAGTCCCCTGCTTTCTTCGAAAGGCGGGGGACAAAAAATCTGTCCTACAAGTGAAACTATTCATTGTCAACAAAGTTTATCAGTCACTTGTGATATTTGTGGTGTAGGTTAACTGTAATTAATGCTTGACCTTTTAAATCTAAAAAGTGAATGTATAGGAACACATAAGTAAAATAAATATCTGTGTAAATTTAATTATTGATTTAAAAAAAATGCTGTTTCTATTTAATAATAGTAATACCTTTAATAATCTGTTTAATCATGTCTTTATCTTCATCTTTCAGATCTTTAAAATCTTCCAAATCATCAGGATCTTCAATCTTTTTTGTGGTAGCTCTAGCTCGTACAAATGTTTCAAAAATACATGCTGGGTGAAACCACTGTTTCATGTCCCCTCCATCTTCACTAAATGGATTGGACACAACTTTACCAATTCTCATGGCTCCCTTTTCTATCTTCTGTTTACATTTCTTGCAACTTGATGTTCCCAATTTGGCATAGCCAACTATATAACGGTTTTCAGCCATCTAAACATAATTTGATTTAGGTTTTTAAAATAATTGGATAAAAAAGACCCAAAAACAGAACAAAAATACAGGAGGACCCCAAAAGTTGACACAACAGACTTCAAAGGAGAACAAGATAATTTGAAGGATTATGGAGAACCACTTTCTTCATTCTACCTCCTTGTTCAGCTCTGAACTCGTGTAATGAGAACTTACATTCAGAGCTGAACGGGTAACAAGAACTTATATTCAGAGCTGAACAATCTACCTCACTGCATTGACCAGGAAAATTCTCATTACCAGTGTGTGCATACATGTATGAAATGGGGTTTAATGTCCTACTGTTCTGCTCTGAAAGGGCTAATGAAGACCGATGTGGGCATACAGGTACATTATTATACAAGCGAATTTATTTCCATCCACAAACTAAACAAAATTACAACTATTAACACATGCAAGTAAAGTGCTAAAAGATGGTTTAAAAAAACCTTTATAATAGAACTGTTTAGACAGTTTAATTAGTGCATTGGGCAAAACTGTGTTTATAATTCATCTGACTGGGGCAATTTGTAGGATCACCTGCAGGAACGAAGGTAGGGGTATCAAAAATAAAAGAAATTGTGTTTAAACGTAATCTTATTCTAACTACAACATACAACTGTACATTAGCTGCAATACTGCAGCAGGCATACTTCTCTTGTACGCCGCTACACTTGATACACTATTCGAGGCTTTGTGCAAGTAAAAATAGCTTCAAATGAAAAATTCTCAACACATATCATCAAAGTTTGCATGGAAATAAGGAATTATGTTACAAATAGTGAAAAGTGGAACACTGAAATTTTAATCTTATCTTACAGAACAGTTATTCTTATTTTTGAAGCGTAGTGGATTGCCGAATGGTAAGTGCATGGCTGCGTGCGTGCTGTATAATAAGGTCTGTCATTGAGTCAACTGGCGTGGTTTCGATTCCTCGTCCAGTTGTACATGACAAAGACTAAGGTTGTCTGTCCAACTTCGTAGGTTTAGTCCGGGTCCTCTGGTTTACTCCCACTGCTAAAGACCCCTATGCACAAGCTAATAATTGAAATAAAATTGAACCATATGTTAGTCCCAAAATGACCTAGTTTGTTTTGAGTGGAGTTAAACCCCATCTTTCTGTTGAGTGGAGTTAAACCCCATCTTTCTCTCTCTCTCTCTCTCTCTCTCTCACTCTCTAGCTTAACATATAACAAACCAATTCCCATTGAAATAAAGGTGAAGCCTTACAACATAATTATGTGATTTGATAAAACTTAACTGCTACGCGACATTTCTCTCCTATCCAACTTAAAATGTCCGTCCAGCCAGAAGTAGGGTGCGCACTCCGTCTGACGTGATTATATGTCACTTTCCATATATGGATTTCATGTCCATATAAACTTTTAGTATCTTGTTTGCTACTTAATGATTTATCACAGTTACAGCATTCATCTATTTTGGACAAAGTCTAATTCTAGTTTCGATTTCAAAGACTAAAGACACATGATTCCTGTCATTGACATCTCAGTGAATTCCAATATATTCTCTCGTAGTAGTCTAGCGTAGTAACACTTCCTTATAAGGGAAGTGATAGGCGGAGTTAAACGCAGCGCGATACTTGGGGAGCTTTCAGTCTGGGTGGTGTCAAGACATCTTGTACATTATAAGAAATATTGCTTCAAAAATGTGAAATGCATTACCACAAAGAAAAACTGTTCGGTTACAGTAACTATTTTTTTAGTGGTCCAGTCTTCACTATTTGTGATAAAATGAATTATTTTAATACAAACTGTAATTAGGGCTGGCAATTGATACCTATTTTGAATATCGATATCAGCAACCATTTCGGCAATATCGATATCAATATATCGGAAAATTTGAAGTTGAAAGAAATAACTGTTTGTATGCTAATAATGCATTTAAATGTGTTATTGATCAAATAAAAAAAACTATAATCCTCAAACTATGTTTTCTTAATGTTTGTTTCATTGACAGCTTATCTTATAGTATTATGAACAAAATAGTAATAGCAGCTTTGCGCTCGCCATCAATTGCTGTTAACAATATTCCTCGGCCGCTTATAACAAAAGTTTTACCCACAATCCATCGTTTTTACTGCTTCAATTTGTACGTGTGACATGTAAATTGAAAACATAGCCCTAACCCTAACCCTAGAAAGATATTTTCCAGATCGGTCAAGACTCAAGATCTATTCTACTCTATAGTAGAAGTATTGTGCGTGGAAATGTGATTTTTTTTAAACCATAATAATGTGAATCCACCCTTTCAGTCCTTGACATTTGCTGATTCCAAATCAAAATATATTACTTATACCTATCCAGATGATTTTATGTCTAAAGTACTTCTATCATAAAAGAATACATGGAAATTTCAAGATATCACCCAATATCAATCACTGAATGTTGATATTTTGTTATTTCAGCGTTTTATCTTCCTTTCTTTGTTCAAGAACTACCAAGGGATATAACTCCCCTTGTACAGTACTCAGTAGTCTTCATTGTTTCTCTCTATTTTATATTAGCCAACTGTAATGATCTAATTATGCAATTTTATGCTGCTCTCCTTGCCGTGGGCGTTTTTAAGCTATAAATTTAGTTTATCCTACTATTTTTTATGTTCAGAAAGTGTTTAAATAAATTTTGGTCCGAAATTTACCAGAGATGCAGATGAATTAGGCAGGCAATATTTGACATCTTGTGTACTTTATACATAGCCTACCCATGACTAGTAGACGTTTTCAACCTATAATTTTGGGTTTCATTGTAGCTGTAGGGCAAAAACTGTTCTGTAAATTTTATTCCTCAATCCCAACTTTGGATTAAGCTTATATGATCAGGACCGTACGTAACTAGCTGGAGCCACGGTGGCTAGGTGGGTAAGGCGCTGGCTCGCTAGCCTGGAGGTCGGGTGTTCGATCCCTGCATTGGCCGAGAAAGTTCATCCCGATTTTCCGACGTGGTTTCCCCTTGTCAGTGATGCAGGACGGAGGGCCTGACAAGGACAGCTGTCTAGTCCTTCGGATGAGACGAAAAACCGAGGTCCCGTGTAAACATTGGAATGCACGTAAAAGATCCCTTGGCAGTTGGAATTCGATATTAGCGTAGGCGATAGTGCCGCTGCCCGGGCAAAATTTCCCTCATAGCCCACTGTATGGCGTATGCCCGTCTTCATTAGCCCAGTATAGGAGCAGAACAGTAGGACGTTAAACCCCATTTCATTTCATTTCAATTCACGTAACTAGCTCAGAGCAACGAGGGGCGGGAAGTGTTCTCAGGCGTGCTGTAAAATTAACGGAGACTGTATATCTAGTTTTTTTATGGTCACCAAATTTTTCACGGGGGGGGGGGGGCAGTTACGGGCCTGCTTATGATTAACATTATTTTTGGACACACTTTCTGGGGTGGATGATCATGTTTATGCTGTATCCATGAAGTTAAAGATCCCATGGTAGACCTACTCAACTTGTTTGAACAGTGGGCTATAAGCTGTAACAAAATATTCCCTGCACACCTTCCAAGCATTTCCATGTCTTTTTAAGAAGAGATTTTCCAAAATTTGATTAACACCATACCATTTTTTTTACAGTAAAAACAGACAGTTTTATTTTTGAATAGCAAAGACAAAATAATAAAATTATAGGCTTTTTTATCGACTTGCCAAATCGATTTGAATTTATTGGAGATGTCATGTGACATTATAGTTGATTTCAAAGTACTTTGGCGAGTTCTTGTGGCTGGACATAGTTGAAACCAGCGGCTGTCAGGCAGGATACGCCCACATTTTGCAATAGATGGATAGAGAACAAGCTAAAAACAAAAACGTTTTTTTGTACAATCAGGGGTCATAATCCAGAAAGTTATGGTCTGAAATGCGAAAATATCAAAAGGGAAATGAAATGAAATAAGATGGGGTTTAACGTCCTACTGTTCTGCTCCAAACTGGGCTAATGAAGACTGGCATACGCCATACAGTGTGCTATGAGGGAAATTTTGCCCGGACAGCGACACTACTGCCTACTTTTATATCGAATTCTAACTGTCAAGGGATCTTTTTCGTGCACGCCAATGTGTACACGGGACCTCGGTTTTTCGTCACATCCGAACGACTAGACATCTGTCCTTGTCAGGCCCTCCGTCCCGCATCACTGACAACGGAGAACCACGCCGTAAAAATATCAAAAGGGACTGAGATTTTTAAAATATAAAAATATGTTTTAAGTTTCATCAAAATCGGATAAAAACCTTGACCTCTAGAGGGTCCATAACCTTTGTATTACATGCTTATCAAGGGCGGATCTAGTATTTTTAGAAAGGGGGGGGGGTGCGAAGCCCGGCCCTCGGTGGGCGGACTGACGGGCAATCAAGCAAGTCACCAACCGGCTCGTTTCGGAGTAAATTACGACGGGGATCACTATCAGTTTTAAGTAATATTGTTCTCCTTTCCCGCAAATTGTTTGCCACCGCAAAAAATAGGTGGGGGGGGGGGGCGTGCACCGTGTGCTCCCTCCCCCCCCCCCTTGGATCCGCGCCTGACTTATACACAGATTGCGTACAAAGAGCCGCCATTTTGTCGGGCAGTTTCATTTCGATTTTCCCGAAATTCCAATTCAACCTTTATTATGGTGGAATGGTGATAATTTATTTTATGATCAGTAGTGGAATACTTCCTTTTATCAGTGAAATAAAAGTGTTATTCCACTGGCTAGTTGTTTTTACCTAAAATGATTGTAAAATCATAAAATAAATAGAACATTTGTCGTTTTGTCGTGAATAACATATTTTATTTCATCTCTAAGCAAGAAAACGTTTATATTTTCACTCATGCTACGCATTCGTGGAGATATAAGTTTTCTTGCTTCTCGATGAAATAAAATATATTATTCACTCTAAAACGACAAATATCCTCTATATATCTAAATGGTTTTTAAAATCGGAAAAAAACCCCTGTGACCTCTACAGAATGCACAAGCTAAAAATGCGATTTTTCGACCAATCAGGGGCCATAATCCAGGAAGTTACGTTCGGATGTGTGTGATGATCAAAAGGAATACCAAGATCTTTTTGATAAAAACATTTATTTTATGATCAGTAGTGGAATACCGCGTTTTATCAGTGAAATAAAAGTGTTATTCCACTGGCTAAAGTAGTCCATGTTGTTTTTACCTAAAATGATTGTAAAATCATAAAATAAATAGAACATTTGTCGTTTTGTCGTGAATAACATATTTTATTTCATCTCTAAGCAAGAAAACGTTTATATTTTCACTCATGCTACGCATTCGTGAAAATATAAGTTTTCTTGCTTCTCGATGAAATAAAATATGTTATTCACTCTAAAACGACAAATATCCTCTATATATTTAGGGTTTCATCCAATTCGGATAACAAGCGGTTGTCATGTTACGATCCGATATGTCCGAATATCGAAAGGAACCAAGATCTTTGGGTTATAAACATGCATTTCAAGGTTCATTAAAATCGGGTGAAAATTGTGACCTCTAGCGAGAGAGTCCACAACAGTGATATACCATATTTTTACACTATTTGCGTACAAGGGGCGGCCATTTTGTCCGGCAGTTTTGGTCCGATTTTCACGAAATTTGAACTCAACCATCATTAGGGTGTACGGTGATCTATTCAAACGGCTTTTTAAATTGGATGAAAATTGTTACCTCTAGAGGGACCACATGCTTAAAACGCGATTTTTCATACAATCAAGGGCCATAATTCAAGACGTTTCGATCCGATATGTGCGAATATCGAAATGAACCAAGATCTTTGGGTTATAAATCGGATTAAAATTGTGAAATCTAGAGGGTCCACAACCTTGATATAACATATTTTTACACTATTAGCGCACGAGCGACAGCCATTTTGTCCGGCAGTTTTGGTTCGATTTTCGTCGGTCTTGTCGATTTGTCCGGTTGAATGGCAGGGCGGCGCAACTCTTCCTTGGGGCTTGTTGGTGAGTGTATGGCCTGGTCCATTCTTCCTTCCATTTGGTTTTGTTGTCCGGTATGGTGGTTGATGTCGTCTTTATTTTGTTATTCGTTCCTTTCGTTTATTGGTGCTCTGAAGGAAGAATCCCGTACCTGAAAAGAAAGAAAGAAGAAAGAGAGTATCTGGTCTTATAATGGTTATGTTTCGTCTAGTAAGGCTTCGGTAAGTGATTAAAATTGTGAAATCTAGAGGGTCCACAACCTTGATATAACATATTTTTACACTATTAGCGCACGAGCGACAGCCATTTTGTCCGGCAGTTTTGGTTCGATTTTCGTCGGTCTTGTCGATTTTTCCGGTTGAATGGCAGGGCGGACTTACGGTTATCATTATAATATTTGTTTTGTTAAAGTTTGATTAGTAGTGTAGGGCGGTTGGCCTTACCCTCGTGGGGACCTTTTTTGCGCTCCGCCCTACTGAATGTATTTTAATTGATTATAGTTATAGTTTTATCATTAGGGCCTATGTCTTTGGTCATACGTATTTCCTCAATGAAATCCCAGACAAGCTGAGATGTCTCTAGTATCTATCATCTGGCGGGGGAGAAAGGAGAGAATTGAGACAAAGTGTTCTTCCCCTTTCTGTCAATTTGTCAATCATTGATTGGCGTTCTTTCTTTAGTTGATTGCAGTCGATTAATAGATGTGAAGTGGTTGCAATATGTCCACACGGACATTTGATTCATTGGTGTATAGGTGTAGTCTCTGACTATGTATCTATTGTATTAAGCCTCGTGATGAGTTTGCATATTTTGATAGAAGAATGATTAATGTAAACCTTGTCTACAAGATTGCTATCTATTTGATAGCGATGGGTGTATTCTTGTTTTAGACGGGATTTCCATGCATTTTCAATCTTCTCTTTAGCTATGCTTGCAAATTCCTGACTGCTATTCTAAATTGTCTATTTCATTTAGTTACAAACCCTCCTTCGCCAGCTTGTCGGCTTGCTCGTTGCCGAAGATATTGACATAAGAAGGGATCCATGTAAGGATCACCTCCCTCCCACTGTTTTTAATTTTTTGAATGTGGTCCCTGACTTGGTGGATTATGATCTGCCTGTTTTTTAGGAGTTTGATTCTATAGATTTGATGCTACTCAGGGAGTCAGACAGGATTACGGCTTTTTGGTGTGTTTGCGTAGCTAATCATTCCAGTGAAGATTTGATGGCCATCAGTTCTGTGCCAGACAGACAGGGGCAACGACAATATATAAGTCCACATGAAAATGTGTGCGTATAAAAAGATGTGATCACCCGATGAAATCACACCTACATGTATAGGTGATTTGAATATTTGAGGTAATCGCTTCGGAAATCTGTGTCGATAAATTCGTTGATTAGGGTAATCGATTTGAATTAGATGGACGCTAAAGATGAAAATTTGATTGAATGCAAATCACTTGGGCTAATCAGTGGTCGATAAAAACGCCAATGGTTGGCATTTTGGAAAAGAGCTCTTCATATAAAAATATTGAAATACCTCTTAGACCTAGGGAGTTGCTTTTCTAAGGCCTGCCACAAAAATAATATTGAAAATAACCTTCAAAATATACTGAGCGCCATGGAAAACGCATCACATAGTTTTTCGTATAACAAAATGATCCTGTAAACATATCTTATTTATTTTGCTTCTTATTGTGAACAATATTCAAATGGGAACACATCAATAACAACACATTTGTACACTTATGGATGTTTAATCTGTAATCAACGGTACAAAGTCAGAGGGGTCAAAACCAAAAGTACGACACAGATGTCAGTAGCGCGTGTGTCCTCCACGTGCCATCGTCACGGTAGGCTACAGCATTAACGTGACCCCTGCAAATGTGTAGGGCGGTCCGGTGATGAAATGTGAAGCCTCCCCACGCTCAGTATATGTGCATGCTATCATTATGTGGGTTACTAATAAAAATCATGAATTCCTTGTGTAGCATTTACATTTATTGCAGTCAAAGGTGGATACATCTTACTGTTCACATGGCAGATATGAATTTTTTCAATCACATGACTTGTATCTTTATATTTATATATATATATATAATATATATAATGTCTTTGTTCATTTGACTAAAAGTTCCTCATGATCATACTGTTTTCCTTTCAAAGCTCATTGTTAATTTCATGATTAAAACCTTTACAATAGTACATTAAACAAAACCATTAATGGGACATACTGGCTAAAACTAGTTATTATGGGTTTAATCTTTTTGAGATGTGTCCACTGCCTGGTACTTTCCAGTTGAGCATAACAGTGGCACATATTTGCATAAAAATGTCCTTTTCTGCAACAACTAAATCAATTTACTTTGACTTTATAACAAAGACATTCACATTATTATTTCCTTTTAAGATCTAGTTGTGTAACAGTTTTATAATAATATGGGTAACTTTTTATGCCTTTAAGACCTCATGTTGGTATAAACACTGTGATGCCATCTTCCATGACATGAAAATTAAAAGGAACAGTGGGTATCAGCTTGGCATATTTTATTACAGAAAAATTAAATTATTCATGTACATGTAAAGAGTGTCATAGATGAAGACGGTCTTCAAAATGAAACTCAGTAATAGTGTATTACCCACAACACTGACAGTCAACTGCACACATACATTATTGTTACAAATCTATATACAATTCATTCACAGGGTGCCCATTTTACAAAGCACCATAAATAAAACACACTGTGTTCTAATATTACAACATACTAGGTTTAAACAAAAGATAAATGCAATGTATGCTAATATCATTTTATCTTAAGATAACTATGTACTCAATCTAGCTGAAATTAAATGATGTATTCTGTAATTCTACCATGGGGTTATAAGTACACCCTACTTCTTATTCATTTTTTAAAATGGTCACTTAAAATCAATAGAAATTAAAATACAGACCATTTTGTATGTGTATTAAAATAATAAATAGATAAAACAAAGATAGAGGTAAAACCTATTCAAATAATTTTTAAAACTGTTATTCAACAGCAATAATCTCCTTGTTTAACTATTGCTGATTATGGCGAGCCTTTTAAACCACACACATTTGCTACTTCAATTTAATGATGATGGAGAATAAAATAGTAACACAACACATAAGCTTAAAATAGATATATTGTACAAGTAAGTTGAATTAAATGTGTTATATCCACAAGAGTATTTAATGGATTACATTTGGATTAATTCAACATCAGCTGTATATTTTTAAAATTTGTCACAGATGTTTAAAAATTTATTTTTAAAATTGTATCAATTCCTGCTAAAAGAAATACTAAAATATCCACCTCTAAGTAATATACAGTATAAAATAGACAAAGAATCTCACTTTGTCACTAGAGACAGGTACCCAGGGTTAGTCTAAGTGTTTCAAGGCACTCAACCAGTCTAGAACTACAATAAATAATACTAATTACATATAGTACATGTAAAACTACCATAAATAATACATAGAACATTTACATTGTACTTCTAGCTTTTTTTTTTTTTTTTCTCAAAAAGAAAACTAAACCAAAAGGGTAATTTCATACAAAATTTTAAATTATAACATTAAATCTCATTAAAATTAATTAACTTCATAAATCAGGTAAAATATGAGAGAGATATATCATCCTGCAGTGTATTCTGGTATAACTTTTTAATTCTTCAGACTTAAAATCTGCTAGGTTCAATCTTCCAAATGTATACTAAGTTTTAGACATTTATCTTTCATAATTTGTTAGAATTCAGTCATGGACTGAAATTATGAGCTTTAGAATTCAACAAATGTTCTGTATGCACCATCTTCAATAGAAGGCTTGATTTCACTTTAACAACGCACATCTTATCAAGGCCTTCACGCAATACCCTGCATTTTCGGCACTAATTTAGATTGGGTACAAGCCCAGCTTGTGAGCCTATCAGATTCCTCGGTCGTCGTGAATACCAAGTCTGGCGCTTTCAAGCTAAAATATCTACCCGTGATAATCGAGTTGAAAAGTTCAAGGTTCGTTCAATGTCAAGGTTTCCGTGGAGGTCGCTATTGTGAAGTAATCTAGCAACGCCCGGATGTTGTAAAACTCGCAGTCATTGCTTCAAGAACATGTGTATGCACAAACATCATTAATGAGTTCAAAGAAATGTCCACCATCAAGAAAGATCAAATGAAAATTATTTTAAGAAATTAATTACTTTAAACTTATTGGGTATACAGTAGATAAAAAAAACACTTGTCATTAAGAAAAGTATTTTCTATACATAGAAATGAAAAGTAACATAATAAAACAAGACATTTCAGCTTAATAAATATCTATTCATAAGCATTAAATCAATAAATATATATCCAGGATAACAATCCTCAATATTCTTGGTCCATATTTGAAGTCAGAATTTAGTTGATATTGGTCTAAAATGGAACAATATAATGGAATACAATAGGTTTCCATGAATGAATACATGTGTGGACAGATTCTGTTAATCAGAAAATTGTCAATTACAAGTGGTTGAATGATACAGGGTTATTTTTAGTCACTACTTCTAACTTTAAAGAAATTAATACTTTATGAAGTCATATTGAACCCAAAACCATGTATTATCACTAACTTGGGTTAGCTGTAATTTGTATATTGGCCACTACAGGAATTTAAGACAGTATTCCATATCATATGGCAAACTGAGTTCAATTTCAACTATTCAAATCATACACCCACTTGTATTTAACAAAGATTTAAATATGTATGTAATGTATTCTAGTTGAATCTACACAACCATGACTAATTATACATGTAGCACTGGCTGGATTAAGGGCTAATCCACAAAATAAATTAAGATTAAATAAATACTAAGACATCAACTTGTATCCCCTGGACAAAAGGTAAGTCTTAACTACAATAAATACAAAATTTCTACAAAGCCAACATTCAACAGACATGGATGATTTATATGCTATCAGACACTTAATAATATAATAATCAATATAGTACAAATTGTATACAATTACAAACATATAGGCACAAAACTACACTGACAAGTACATTGTACTTTAGGCAATTTCTGTCCAGAATACAAGGGAGCCATACAATCTTCATTTCATTATGTTCAATATTGCACACATCCTTCTTAAAACAGTGTTATATTTGGAGATTTTGGGAATTCAAAACAAATACATCTACATGTCTCAATTGTATTTGGATAATTTTTAATATATAAAAAAAGAGATCCACTTAATAAATGAACAACTGCGTTATCAATTTTAGTCAATGTAGTGAATGTACTAATAGAGAATATTAAATTATCTCTGATGAAAACTTAAATGAGCATGAACTGGTTTGTAACGTATTGATAATTAAAAGTGATAAGTTATGATATTTATGTACAAACTTCACATTAAAAAATAGACCATTGAGTTTCACTACATAATAGCAGCACTGTGGTCTTGACTAGGTAGCTGGAGTCCATGTCATATGGAAAATAGAAGCACAGATCTAATAAATTTAATCAACTTTATGTTAAAATCCAGTTTCATTTAGAATGATGTCATTTTCCTGAATACAAACATCTCCACGATGACCATCAGTTTTTTTCACTCTACATGTAGTTGTTAAAACTTGACTTTTTTTCAAATCTGTGCTCTTATTTAACAACATATATTTTTTACTCAACAGATCATAAAGTTACATGAACATTATATTTGTACTGGCAGCAGGGCTTCATTTTTTGCAAGCATTTAAGCGATCGTAAAAAAAGCACTCGTCAAAATATGATCAAAATCTACAATTTTTCAAGGCAAAAATATTGTCATATACACTTTGAATCCATTACAATACAGTACCCGATGACAACGACCATGTCGCCATGATGTTTGTTTATAGCAGACTCTTGATTATTTAGTTGCTAAAATATCATTGAAAAAATATACATTTGTTTTGAGAAAAGGTTTCAAAAATCCAAATTAGCTGGAAAGAATAATCCCTTTGTAGTTAATGATAATCTACATATTTTTGCACAATGACTTTTATCTTCAAGAATTTGTTGATCGATGAAATTCACGCGATAGGTTACCGAGTATAATTCTAGACAAATTTTTGATTGGCTGAAACACCAGATGTATTTGGCAGAACGGTGAGGTCAATCTTCTCGGCACGCAGTAATGAAAGATTTTTTAGTTTTGTGTTTATTTTTATAGCTTGGTGAATTAATAGCAAAAATCTTGATCCGGTGCAGCAGAATGAATCGATAGCTCTAGCAAAAAATTTTGCGAGTGTGCTTGAAAGCAGATTTTTATATATTGTACTTCAACTAGGTGTTTTATTATACAAGAGATACATGTAATGCTAATAATAGTGCAGTTTACAAGTAGCATTATCATGGGGAGATAAAGAAATGGGTACCCATGCAGACAAATAGTCGTATGCTAGGATTAGTTGCAAGTTTCAACACTAAATGATACATATACATATTTTGAAAGTGTAATGAATCTTGGTTCTAGAAACTGCACATTAAAATATAATTTAACTGAGAAAAGCATCCCATACCAATATTATTTTCATGTAACTTTATAATACTATTCAATCTTTTTCAGGTTCATTATAAATTAAGAATGTTCCGATATAGACATGAAAAGGCTAAGATTGATATAATAAATAACTTTTAAGTGAGTTTGGTAATGGTAGTTTATGTATATCAGGCAGTCTGTTTTTCCCTAATGTACTTCGTATTGACCGTCTACAGATGTCCATCAGAGGCAGGGGTTCAGCTGAAAAATACATTCAAATAATTCTGTTAAAATCATTAAATAGAGAAGAAATCCATTAAATATAGCACTCAAATTTAATTAGAACTGTAACATGAACTCAGAAATTCAGAGGTGTTTTAACAAGTTATTATGCCGTTTTGATAAGGCCTGTGTCTTGAACTTGAAGATGAGTGTACATGGTTGTACTTGAACAACAGGATTATGTTGTGTCTATGATAAATATCAATGGTTGGGAGTGATCTCAAACTGGAGATTTACGATGACAAGACAAGCCGTTGTACACGCAAGCATGTCAATATGTATCACATAACCACCGATATAAAACTGCTGATTTGTTGTCATTTTTAAGTTTTAACAACCGTAACTAACTGAAGGCCTATTAATCGACCTAGAAATAAGATGAAAATACTTACGATCAAGACCTCCTATATATTTCATTTGTATTTCACAATGTCCCCACACTGCACTAACAATTGGATAGAGTTTTTTGCCTTTTAATCCCCTAAAAGCCACACCTAAAAATTGACCATCTACAACAAAACTTAGTGTTCCTTCATCCATATCAAGAACTACAAGGAAACCATCTGGCACAACAAAATTTTCATCTGAATTTAAAAGTTTGGGATAAGTGAGACCAGGGTTTGTTTTAACATCGTGGTATAGTTTATTTCGGCCTAGATCCCATCCCCATGACTCCTTACTACTTCCTATCAATGACTGATAACCAACACAGTGTAGGGGAGCATCTATTGTAGAAACACCGACTACTGCATGTGTTCCTCTCTGTTTAGTGCTCCAAATAATTTCCCACACATGTAGCCCTCTTGTGTAGCCAACGCGTCCTCTAATACAATCTGTACTTTGAGCAACCGGGTGACGGTGAAATGTTGTTGTATCATCTTCTTTCACAAATATATTTAATGATCTGTCATCCTTATTCCAAGCATGCTGTAGCTGAACTTCCCGCTGGGCAGGCGGCATGTCGAGGAGGGCATCTAGTCGACTAGGTTTTTGAAAATCAGGATTGTAAGCAGGTTCTCTATTAATAGCTTTGTATGTTGGTTCACGTGTATTTGAAATAGTTTTTATTCCGCCCGATACTTTTTGCCCCATGTTCATTTCTTAGAATCCAATTCTAAGGATAATAAAGTTCTTATTAATAAGAAATGGAGACAATGTTTGATATTGCGCTAGTGAGCTTCTCACACAAATGGACTGCCTGGAACACTGCCTGCAAACTGTCTTCATAAGATCTGCAACAGAAAACAAATTATAAAATAGAAACAAATATTAAATAACAAAATGTAAATGGAGGCCTTTATTTGTATGTGTACATGTACCTGCATGCAAGGTAAAGGTAGTACGGTATTTGGTACATGTAGGCCAATCTGATTAAAATACAGATCTATATTTCGTTTCGTTTTTTTTATACTTTCGATGGCCTACACTACATTTGTACATGTACATGAAGATCTGACAAGTTGTACTATAGGGTCGTGTCAGGGGTCGTACATGTATGAGCAGCTTTTGACCCTATGACGTCAGACATGGATTAATCAATATCAGCGCTGATGTTTCTAGTGGTTTACCCACAGTTCTGTCCATTTCATTGACTTATCCCTCACTTCAACCAAAACGCCGGAAATATAACAACTTTTCCAGATCCTAGAGTAGTGAAGACAAGTAAAACGAAATTTTGAACAATAAAAAACGAAACGAAATAGGATCTGTGTTTTAATCAGATTGTGTGTAGGCCTACTTACATAGCAATAACAACAGATTTTCTTGTGTGCACAACCCAAAATTGAAAATGTAAGCCCTTAAACTTACATAAGCATAGAGCAAACTAATTAATAACCTACATTGTATATGTATGATAATTAACCTTATGTCAGGTGTGTACATGTACAATGTACCTAATTATACTAATAAACACGTAAAGCAGACATATATTTCTGATAATTTCATCAATATCATTTTTCATTACAACAATGTACAAATAATAAGTCTGTACAATAGCATTTTCCAAATACAATTTTAAATTGAACAACCATAATATGGCACAATATTATTGTTTTAACCACCCATAGTTAGCGAGAATACCTATACATGTATTACAATTATAATGCAAATAAATACATGTACAGGCAATTCACAGAGTTTGTTATTAAACTATACAGTAATATGTCATGGTATGCAAAAAGCAAGCCCTACAACAAGTACAAATGATGACAACCCTGTTAGTTACTGTGTCAACTTGAATCCCTTGTACTCAAATGAATTATTTTTAAATTATCATTAGTACCAAATGAAATTAAATGGAGTTTAAGGTTCTACTATTCTGCACCGACTGGGCTAACAAAAACGGGTATTAAGTAGTATCATTAATTAATACATGAAACTGAAACTAGAGTATATACACATGTTTAATCCATACAATTAGCTTGCAGTTTTAAATATTTTTATAAATTACTGATAGGCATGATATTAACTACTTACTTATGAAATGAAATGGGGTTTAACGTTGTTTTTCTGCAATGACTGGGCAAATGAAAACGAGCAGGCATCATACCTTGTACTATGAGTTAAATTTTGTCCGGGCAGCGGCACTATGACCTACTCTTATATCAAATTCCAACTGCCAAGGGATTTTTTATGTTCACGCCAATGGATACACGGGACCTCGGTTTTTCATATCATTCGAATGACTAGACAGCTGTCCTTGTCAAACTCTCCATCCTGCATCACTGACAAGGGGAAACCATGTCAGAAAATCCTGATGAACTTTCTCGGCCGATGCAGGGATCAAACATGCGACCTCCAGGCTAGTGAGCCAGTGTCTTACCCACTTAGCCTACTTATGAAATAACATGAAATGAAATAGGGTTAAACCTCCTACTGTTCTGCTCCGAACTGGGCTAATGAAGACAGACATTCGCCATACAGAGTTCTATGAGGGAAATTTTACCCGGACAACAGCACAACGTCCTACTCTTATTTATATCGAATTTCAACTGTCAAGGGATCTTTTATGTGCTCGCCAATGTGTACACGGGACCTCAGTTTTTCGTTCCATCCAAACCACTAGACAGCTATTCTTGTCAGGCCCTCCGTCCTGCATCACTGACAAGGGGAAACCACACCGGAAAATTTGGATGAACTTTCTCGACCAGCCTACTTATGACCTGTGTTGAACAACTAATTGTTACAGTAACAACCCAACTTTATAATGTAGGTTTAATATTGTTAAGACCCCAATTCTCGGATGAATTAAATCTATATTATTATCTGCTCATCCTATAAAACCTTTCTCTATTAAAAATTGTGGGCCTGTAGCCAATATTAACTACATGTTGGCCTACATATATTAAAATGGAATGATTTTAGTTCACAAAAGCCATTTCAAAGGAACAGATTGAGGCAAATTTTATCCATGTATGTGCATATTATCTAACAGGAGTGCATGTAACAGTAACAGCAATCAAATTAACATGGAAGATCAATTTAAATCTACACATTATTTTGAAATGAAAAAAGTCCAAATCCTTTCAGCCTTCGCCTACCCTACACTAGTGGGTGGTAACTAACTATCAGAAGTTTGTGACTATTAGTATTGTGTTATCAGAAAATAAAAAGTGATAATTATGGCAACACACAAATACAAGTGATTTTCATAAATTAACATATCTGTTCTTCATCACAGTAGTACATAATCAAAAAACTAATTTTAGGATACAAATTACAATATGAAATAATGTTTCATTTATCAATTTACCTAATTATTATAAGTTATATCTACATCAATACATGTACCCTACATGTAATTATACTGCAAGTCAGATTTATTGAAGTCGTCCTAATGTGCATGCAAAAAACAAGCTAAAACTAATCCCATCACAAGTACATTTATAAACACTCTTGTTTCAATTTTAAAAGGATATTCTTATCCATTGTGTCAGCACAAATAAAAGCTCTCTTTCAAATAGCAAGTTTTTAAGAAACATGAATAATAAAATGTTTTATACCACATGTACTAATTTTTTATGCATTATTAAGGTAACTATCTATTATTAAGCTATTTACTGTATGCCTTTGTTCCATAATGAGTCAGAATTATTATGCTCGGCTGTATTAATAATAACCCTAAGTCTAAGTTAATCTCTTTGTTATTAAAACATTTGTCAATCTATTATTTACACTTACCACCGGTAGTAATAATAAATCTAGGGTTACTAGTAGAACTGCAATACTATCAAGGAAACGAAAATTAGTTTGAAAGAAAACTGCATTTAAACTAAAACTAAATATAGTACAGAAATAAAGAACTGGAATATGTAAAAATCCCCCCTCCTCTTTTTTTCTTTTGTTGATAAAAATAAATGTCAGCTGAGCCTCTCTGCCCAAGCATGTTGAAATTATGAACCCAACGAAGCTTCACCAAATTAAAATGAAAAAAAATGATGTAAATACAAAACTGTGCTTCATTTGACATGTATTTCACAAGGCGGCTGTATTCCTAAAACATTAACGCGTTGAAGAAAACAATGCAAACAGCACAACAAATACCATATGTGGTTTCTTTTGTCAAACCAAGCAAAATACACAATGGATTCTTTTTTTGGTGTCAAATTTAGAGCCCTACCATACTTACCCGTAATCCAAAATATCTGTACATCTGTAGTGAAATGTGTGTTCTTCAAAGTGAGTCCTAAACTACGAAATTCGTATAAATATTATGGGCCCAAATATTAATTTTTATTCATGACTCACTTCCTCACCGACACTCGCCTTTCGGGGCCATTACAGAAAATTAATATGGCGTCTGCATATCTGTGTATCACGTGGTCAATATTATGTGACGTCACACAAGAGTTTCCCGGAGGTTCCCATCTTTGTCTTTGTTAAGAACACTTTCATGAAACTGTCTTTTTATGAAAGACTAATAAGATTGGGTTGTTTTGTTGGGGTTTTTTTTTCGTTTTTTTTTTGTGTGAAAAGAGAAGAGAAAAATAAATCAGAAATCTCTTCTTTTAAAAATAATTATATTTACTTATTTAGCCTATAATAATACCCGGAAAAATATTTATTTTCAGCAGGCCACCGCGCACAAAATTACTAGGCCTACCGTAACGGGACGTGCCTCCCTTCCCAGTGGTCATAGCAATTATCATTAGGAAGAAAGAAATAAATGACTATAAATTAATAATTTTGATCGAAAAGAGTTGTACGTGAGGCCACCTACATTAAAAAGGGTTATCTCCCCTGTATCGTATCAGATGTTAACAGTGCACGTTTGCTATCCATCGGGAGGGCTGATTAATAATCGCACAGTGGTGTAAGATCCAGAGATTGTGCGCCCATATTGGTCTTTCCGTTTAGACCACCCTCTACCCATGCCTATATAAACTGTCAGCAGTTGGCCTAAATACTCGCTCGACCGATTTTCGCATGTTTGACTTGGGACATACTGCAGTGTTATAGAGTAATGTTTTAATACTCTTGACAGTTTATAGATTATTTGACTGTGTCAATATTATATAGGTAATGGTATGTAATAACCTTTTATACTGGTAGGCCATGTCTTATCTCCAGTATCACATATATAAACATTGACGGGTGTTATACACGGGGTGAGGTAATTTTGTACCTTTCCGCACAGTAATATCAAACATGTCATGAGAAATTATGGAAAATGAGCTCTCTTCCTTGGGAAGTATATCTAAGGAAACGACACAATACTTCTGAATTCAGAAATAGATAGTTAGTTAGTTAGTTCTTGGTGTTTAACGTCTGCTTCCACATATTCCTAAAAAAAGTGGCGTGCAGGGGTTAGTATGCCGCCAAGACGCAGGGGTGGAGGTGTGGGAATCCAGCGGCAGGGCCTAACTGTGTACCGAATCAAACTATGACCACCAAAAGATACCCTATTACTGTATATTTATTTATTTATCCAAGCTTATATAATTAATTTACGGTATAATAAATCTAACAGATTTTCCGACACTCATTTACAATAAAATATAGCGAATGTCAAATGTCAAAATATATTAATTGTCAAAATCAAAGAGTTGGATAGTTGGTGTAATAAACAACGTCATTTTGTATTCCCCATAACTTGACAGAAAATGTAATTCAAAACATCCTTTTTGTATTCAGGACATGCAATCAGTTGAAACACAGCGTTATATTTTCATAACCAATAACATCACGATATTTCAACCCGACAATACGACATTTTTACGCGACATTACGACATTTTTAATGTCATGGTGTCGGTGGAAATGTCGTGATGTGGGGTTGTCGCCTCATGAAGGGCGACATTACGACAAGATACCAATCAGCCACCATACACTGATTCTGATGTTGGTCAAGAAAGTTCCCCAGGATTTTGCAGGCTGGTTTCTCCCTGTCGGTAGTGCAGGACGAAGGGCCTGGCAAAGAACAGTTGTGTAGATGGAAAATTTGCATTCTGCATAGTGTAGGCCTATCTTCAATATTCCGATTGGTGCAGAAAAGCAGGCAAATGAAAAAAATGAATTGGGGTTTAACGTCCTACTGTTCTGCTCCGACTGGGCTAATGAAGACGGGCATACGGTATACAGTGTACCGAGGGAAACTTTTTCCAGATAGCGGCGCTACGGCCAACTGCCAGGGGGTCTTTTACGTGCACGCCAATATGATATGGGACCTCGGTTTTTCGTCCCATCGGAATGGCTATACACTAGGATCAGTGTACATAATCATACTATATATTGAGAGGAACATGACCGACAACCCGGCATTTTAACCCGACAATACGACATTTTTACGCGGCATTATGACATTTTTAATGTCATGGCGTCGGGTGAAAATGTCGAATTGTCGGGTTAAAATGTCTTGATGTCGGGTTATCGTGATATCGGGTTAAAATGTCGTGATGTCGACTTGTCACTACATCACGACATGATACCAATCAGCCACCATAATTTAGGGATTTCTCATCCATTGCAAACTAGGCTATGTAATGTGTGCAGCCATCTTGAATCAATAAAATTTGTGTACTTCAGGGTAACTAGACTTGCAAGTGTTGGTGACCTGCTATACAACACCTGTCAGATATCACAATTCCTATTTACTGATTAGTCATTAAATTTCTGAAAATGTTAACTGCTAAATCAGTTTAGTTCCAATAAATCGTTGGTTTGATAAATACTTAATCCGTTGTAAGATATAGCTCCCCAATGTGGTTATTTTACGTCGTTTTATAAAAATTACAATTATAGAATACTTTGGGCGCTACTGACAAAAGTAAGGCTCTTGTCGGTTATTGTCGGATGATTAGAACCATATAATCAATCAATAGCACATATTGAATCGTGAAAAATTAGATGTCCGAAAAATGAAAATGGCGATCAGCGACTTTTGACCTTATATCTACAAATATTTTTATATTTGGTAAGCTCGCGATTCAGGCAAGCGAATTATACTCAAGACTGCGAAATTTACTTTTATTTAATCATATGTTTAGGTGACTTACTTTCTTTGGATATTTAGAAGTTAGATTTCTGCTAGCCACAAGGACTTGCCAAACAAGTTGGTGTATCGGGTGTGTTTGTGTTTGGCCCCATGCAGTCTTTATTATCCCGGTTGGTGCAGAATTTGAAGTGGTTGAAAATGTATTGTTTGACTCCAAAATCTACCAAATAAGACAATCTGGTGGGGGGTATCACACAAAATGATATATTCGATGTAACTTTGTTCGACGTAACGATGTTATGATTGGAGTTTAATCGACATTTTGTTCAACTGATTTTCTCGAAACACGTAGGCCTACTGAGAGATTATATATTCGATTGAGGCCACTGAGAATCGGGTTTAAACTGTTAAAACCTGCAAATGTAGAATATCACATGTAGTTAAAACCAAATAAAGTGGTAACGTTGATTTTACCACTAAAAGGCCTTCCCTATTTTAACTGTGGTCTAGTAACGTGCCACTGACAATAGAGACTATCAATAGATATTGTGAAATCTGTAGTTGACCTCGTTCCTGTTTCATACTTTATGACCTAGATATTATCGCACATTCAATTTAATCTTTCATTATAGGACTGCAGTTAGGATGGCCACACCATAGATGACGAGATAATATAAAAGGCCTATTGGTTAATTGCACTTTAGATCTAGGATAAAAAGATCTAGGATACTGGGGTTATAATTAACAGGTAAACCAAATTTAGCCATAATTTATGTAGATTTATAACGATAACCAGTTAGTGCTTCAGTGAACATGTAAACATAAACAGATTGTAGCATATATTTTTATGTAAATACACGAAATATAATTCTGATAGATCGAACTTTTAATACATGCTATTTCAAAATCAAATCTGTTATGACGCAATCTGTGAATTTCACTAATGGCCATTTTATTGTTACAAAACATCACAGCAGACACAACTTGCTAATCGAGACTACAATAGTAAATATTGCGAAACACTATATATATATATGTATATTATTGCAGCAATGACGAGGTTATTATTTCTTGCGATTGTGGTGCTCAGACATAGTTAACAGGTAATGCCCATTGTTTACCCCCCTTTTACCCCACTTACTGTAAACAAACATCATTTTGGCACCGTAACCTACCAATTTATAGTTAGAGTTGTCACTTGTCAAACGTTGTTTTTGAGAAATTTGTAGGTAATTTGTATAAGATTCAATAAATTTATAGATCATAAACTACAGGCAAAGACTGGGCGTGGTTCGTTTTTATAAATTAATAACGAAATCTTTACCAATAATTAAATGTAATAAGTGTCATATAGCACTGTCAAATTAGTTTTATAATTAAATCAAAGGTGAAGTCAAATGTAATAATATGTCTTATATCAAATGTAATAATGTCTTATATCAAATCTTTTATTGCCTTATGTTATTTTTTGTTTATTATCGAGACTGTTTACTTTATACACAAGTAAAGTTTCTTCAGCCATCCTAAACAACAAGTCGTTCACAGTGGACATGACACACGCATCATTAATAGGAAAATGATGACCGGCTAGTTTTTTTTTCATTTTTGGAAACAAGTCTCACCCATGGTTACAAATCTGGCAAACAAATTATCAGGATCTGCTTCAAAACGGCGCAGATTGTCACGGGATGTCAAGAATCTGACGTACACGTTTCTGATCCGCAATCAAGAGCTTTGGCACTCATCTTGCATAAACTATTGTCATTCGTTACTCGTTGGCTCAACCCTATCCCGAGAGATACCAAAAACACCTGCAATACCATGTCATGCACCCGGGTAATGTTTTCTGTTGCTGTTGTTGACCTTCCAGGACGCGGGTCAACGTCAATGGCTCTTTCTGCCACGCTTAAATTCCACAGCCCATTTCGTTACTCTGAAAAAGGAAGGGACACTATCCTCTGAAGTCGACACTATGTCGGCATGTATCTGTGTTGGGGTTAGTTCTTTCAGTTTCAGGTACCCGATAGCTGCCCTATACCCATTTCTGTGGTGATTTCAATGGGTAGGTTCACAAGATGGTCTGGTACGAAGACAATAATAACAACACAGTTGCAGTTCTTATGTCTATAATTCATTCAATGATTGTACTTGTTGGTGGCAAAAGTATGTTTCAACACAATTGATCTATCATTTTCAGGCTTAGAACTTTTCATCCAGCCCTCGTAGGTTTATGTCATATAGTCATCAAAAACATAATAATACTATTCAATAGTTTGATTTAAAATACAGATGTGACGTCACCCTTTGATGTTGGCGTACCATTATTTCAAATAATCGTACGGGCAACTTGCCAATAGTACTTTATTCAAACCAGTGAGATATTGGACTAATGTGACGTAAAAGCTCGTGCTGAGTGTCAGTATTTTAAGATGTTTAATGGTCTCGAGCTTACGACATTGCGTAATATATTGTAAAAACATTCGGGCCTACGGCCCTCATGTTGTTACAATATATTACTTAATGTCTCGCTCTCGACCATTAAACAATACATATAGCCAACTTTCTTATTTCTGTATTAATTTCAGTTTGTATGATGGAAAACAAATCTGAGATGGGTGGTAGACCAAGCGACGACACACAACAGCTACCAAATGCGCCACCGCCACAATACCCGGGTATCCCAGACTATAATTACCAAGGTTAGCTTATAATTAGTATTAAACAATTTGCTTCAGATCATGACGTCCGCTAAAGCAGTCTCGGAATTACACGAATGCCGTAAATACCTTGGCATGGTGAATATGGATTGTTTCACACCCCCTTTGTATAAGTCACGAGGTTGGTATATGTAATACTATTCTAGATCACCATAAAAATTGACGTCAAACGGGGTGTTGGATTTCTCTCTATAAAAAGCTCAGTGTGTATGTTTATTGTTTGCCTACGTAATTTGGAGACGATGATGGAGCTATGCATTGTCAACCGTTAAATTTCCTTAACAATAACCTGGCAAACCCCCCTCCTGCAAAAATTCCCGGATCCGCCCCTAACAAGGTCAAAATAAAGCATAGAAATCTGTTGTGTTATTTTGATTACTGATAGTACAGAAGCAATATGATAACATTTTCGTTTCGTTGCTTGCATTTATAGGAAAGAAAGAAACCGATTTTATGGGCATGATCTCGAAAAACCAGATTATTTTCTTTTGAAAGATTTGGTATACTGACACCTTTCGTTCATTAGAGGTCATTAAATAAGTTGCATTTTAGATTAGTTTGAATGCACTGGTGAATGTTAGTAACATCAATGTTCAGTACACGGGTGCGTCTTCCAAAAGTTTCCTACCTCAGCCGAAATTCATCTGGCCATGTTGCTAGAAAAGAATCTCAGTATGTGCTTGACATGCAAAACATGAATTCCACGTGCTATAATTTCCTATATATGTATATAGCTGTCAAACAGCATGGCCCGCTCATTTGCTCTCAAATGGAGAAAGCCGAATGCAGAGTCGTGATTTAGTATCTTCATTTCAAATTTTTTAAGCTAAAGCAAAGTCATGACAACAAGGCACAAACATTAGATGACAATGTTCCTTTGTTTAGTACAAACAGTGGTTAATTTACATGCGGCACTATCGGCACTGAAGACGAACCACGGTCTCGTTGCCCTTTTGAAGTGACCACCCAAGATAAAGTTGATGCTGTTCTCGACACAATAACGCGGGACAGACCAGTAACTGTTAGACAGTTAGCTACTGCACATGACACTGGAAAAATATCAGTGGAACGAATAATGGATGAACATTTGTAAAAGAACAAGGTGTCTGCTTCACTGAAGAACCAAAACATCATAGTGCAAGGGTTAGTCAACAGCACCCGGGGACTATTGGAGAGATTCACATGCTTTCTTAGGTCTTATTGTTACGTGACGTCATCAACGCTCTAAAATTTAAAAATAACTTCCTCCACTTTTTGGGATCCCGAGGGCGTAATCATGATAGATGATATAAGACGGCTTCCAACAAAAATGGTGCATATTACGTAGATGAACTGCGCCAGTTGCGAGATGTCTGGCTGCTTTAGGACAATGACACATCTCTCCCCGCTCCCTCACACACCCATGTACGCGTAGAGCATTTTTATTCTCCAGCATTCCTTGAATTAACTTCAACAAACAAACGTGCGAAGCATTGCCGCCGTTTTGGGATCACTCCACTCTAATTCTATACATGTATGCATCTATATGAGCAGATATATTGTCTCAGAGCTTCTCACCAAACTTGACTTGGACTCCACCCCGCCCCCGCCCCTCCCCTCCCCGAGCACGCATCTGTGATGAGAATCACGTGAAGGTGGGGACGACTATTTTGCTTGAATGCAAACGGACAGAAATCATTTTGTCTAGTGACATATTTTATTGTACTATATTTTATTCTTTCCATTTCAAAAATGTGGGTTTTCTTTTATGTGAAGCTCAAGCTGTACAGGCTTTGCAACAACCTCCAATAATGATGCAGCCAGGACAACAACAAATGATGCAGCAGCAAATGTTTCAAATGCAACAAATGCAAATGCAACAACAGATGATGGGAGGAGCCGCAATGAATCTATTTAACAACCATTTGAATAATTTAATGGAAGGGTCCAATAAACATTCAGGTGATAACATATAGGCCTATATTTTCCAAATGATATTGGTACCATTTTTTTTTTTTCAAACTCAGAGAACATCTGATTCAGATCTTGAATTCCCAGTGTAGGCCTACCTTTACAAAACCAATTGATTATCCTCAAATGTCAAATTATTAGCTACAAAAATACAAAAATAAGTTCAAAATAAATATTCTTTCTTTAAGGCGACCCACTGCCTATTGTATTAGTTAGATTTAAGGTTGTCTCCTGCAATTTAATGTTCCGTATATTTAACGTACAGTAAGAGCGACAACTCATAACTATTATATAATCAGTATAGAAAGATGAACTATTCATTCATTCCGACATTATTTCATGGGTTTTTTTTTAAACACAAGTGTTATCAATCCTTGTATATGTTGAGTTGTCTTACTTTATGGAAGGACATACATGTGATAAATTCCCTAAGCCATAGAACATAATAATAATATACATTGACGGTATGTGTTTCCATATTTAAATATTAAATTCATCAACACCCTTAACAACAAACTAAATGAATTGTTTAATTTGGTAGGATTACTGAATGTTGCACCTGACGTGTGGATGACCAAACCAGATGGCGGACCCGTGACATCTCCCGGACTTGAATATCTTAATGTCTTGGATAAAGTTCTAATTTATCAACAAATTAACATTGTTGGAGGTAAAGTATATCTGAAATTATTTATTTACTTGATAATAATAATAATATCCGTGATTAAATATACCGACACTTGAATTATTTGTATATTATTTTTATTTTGATATATTTTGCTTTTAGTAATGAATCGTTCTACAAGTTCAACGTACAAAATATTGAATGATGCAGAACAGATGATTTATAAAGCAAGTAAACGTAAGTAAATTATATATTTGGCCATAATTTTGAAAATTGTATTTTAGTCCGACTCCGCAGATTACCGTGTACGATTATTTATGACTTTGGAACTTCGCATAATCAACTCACTGTATTTGTGAAAGCTTAAATAAACATCGTCATAGCAATATCGGCGATCGGGAATTCTCGTCGACCGCATAATCGTCGACGGGTAATCGGGCTATTGGCGGCAAATAGTCTTGGTGTCCTCTACAGGTTCCCACTGTCTTGCGATGCGTTACGGTAGGATTGTCCCTATTAGAGACTTTTGGCAAGTGAAATTTTTCACATCCGTGTCACGTATCCGTATCGTCAAGTGATACGTTGTTGTTGCGTCAATGTAGTTTAACGAGTTTTTGGCAGATTTTGTACGTATAAGCTCAGCTGAGCTTAGTTCTATTTAGTATTACAGCATGATGGCAGTTATCTACCAAGATCAACATCAGTCTAATCAAGTGCCTAGCCTACAAATACCCGAAGAGAGTAAAAAGTGGCTCTACAGTCGCTGAGCTATTTAAAAATTTTAGTGTCGAATCTTATTAAAATCTTCGACTTCAACGACAGCAATATTTGGTTTTACTTATAATGTATCATTTCAGAAAGTATATACCCCTTTTACGGATTTGCTAGGTCCCATCTCATCAAATTTAGCACGTAGACAGACAGGACAAATATGAAAATTCCGCGAAAAGCTATTCAAAGTAATGATTAAATTCCAGTCTTTATCATAGTTAAAATCACATCAAATATACACCTTCGTGTTCTAGGATACAAATGAAATGAAATGGGGTTTAACGTCCTACTGTTCTGCTCTGGGCTAATGAAGACGGGCATACGCCATACAGTGTGCTATGAGGGAAATTTTGCCCGGGCAGCGGCACTATCGCCTACTCTTATATCGAATTCCAACTGCCAAGGGATCTTTTACGTGCATTCCAATGTATACACGGGACCTCGGTTTTTCGTCTCATCCGAAGGACTAGACAGCTGTCCTTGTCAGGCCCTCTGTCCTGCATCACTGACAAGGGGGAACCACGCCTGAAAATCTGGATGAACTTTCTCGGCCAATGCAGGGATCGAACACCCGACCTCCAGGCCAGTGAGCCAGCGCCTTACCCACTTAGCCACGTGATCCCCATTCTAGGATACACATAGATTCATAAAAAAACGCTACAACACATTTCAGCGTGTAAAAGTAGCAAAAGATATGGTAAAAGGACGACGATTTTATACGGACCTTTTCCGTATGTAAGCTGATCGATACGTGCTGTCGTATCCGTGTGCCGTATCACGTATGAGAAATACACACTCATTGATGACGTCACACGCAAAAACGATACGGATACGCGATACGGACCAGGGTCCGGTTTCACGAAATTTTAACGGAGATAAAATCCAAATTTTAGTAATTTGATTGGATAATATTACATTGATTTTAGTCCTTACCCAATCAAAATTGAAGTATCTACTAAAATTTGGATTTTATCTTTAGTTAAGATTTCGTGAAACAGGCCTGAGGTACTTACGTTTGCCAAAAGTCTCTAATAAGTCCATGATCTGGTACGTGTAAATATGTTCGGCTACGTTAGTTACGATTGCTACAACTGACCACACTACATGATAAGACCTGATAGGATCACCACGATTAAAACCAGAATTTCAATCGTAGCTCGAATCGTGATAGTGGGAATCTAGCATAAGCGAATCTCTAAACTCATATAGATACCCAAGATACACACAAGAGCAGCTTTAAAATTAGTAAAATTCCACTAAGGTTTTTTTTCAGTTTTCAAAATCAGTAATAAACTGTGTTCTGTATCATGTTTACAACTAAAAATATATTCTTTATTACTCCACGGTTGGCAATCGAAAACTTTAAAATTTCGAAACTGTTCTTACTTTTTGCCTGAATTGTAGTTAATAATTACATAAAAGACGAAGTTCTGTATCAAGTTGAATCTCCGTACGATCCAAATGTGACTTTCACAAGATTTAACTGTTAAAATGTGAACGGGGATTTGACAGGTTTAAAATCCAAAATATCAACGAAAAGATAACTCTGCGAAACTCGTTCGATATTGACTATTCAAAATTTTGAAATTCGATATAGAAGTCTCCTTTTGATGACCAGTTTCATGGACGTAATATGATGTTATTTCCAATTTTAGAATCAACTGCGCGGATTGACACTCCGATGGCCACTGCTGCCGGATTTCACCTGGGAATCACAGATAAAAATGGACAGGTATGACTTGGCAGTAAAAATACTATAGTTTGTATCAATGATACTTCAAGGGATTATCATGTCCATGGCTGACCAATAACCATTACTTCGCGGCAAATTATACAACGAGGCAGATTGGTGTGATGTCTCGTCCGCAATAAGTAAATCATTTATTTACAAGTGTACACATTTATAACAGAGATTGTTTTAGCCATTGATACAGGTTAACATGTTTAGCTTTATATAAACCAATTAAGCATTGTATAAATTGATCATGAAGGCGATAGTAAATTCTCGTGTTCGACATTATCGCGCTTTATCTTCCGAAAGTTAAAGCGATTTGTTGAAATAAAAACCTACCAGGTATGTTCTGAAATGACCTAGTTTGTTTGTTTAGATATTGATAATTATCTTTTCAAATTATTTACCGTAAAAGATATGAATATTATATTTTTGTGGAATTTCAAAACTTTTCTTTCCTGTCATTGTATGCATACACCGACAGTCAGCGCCTTCATTCAACACAGGTATAATCTTTGGTAGGTTAGCATAAGTTAGTTTCAGGGGGACGCCGATATTTCTCATTACTATACTACACATTGAAATTTGCTTTACCTATGTTAGTCTCAAAATATGTTGACGAGACGCTAAACCATATCTTTTTTCTTTCCTTTTAGGAAATTATTCGAACTGGAAGAAGTGAGAAATGTTGCAGTGGAGCACCATGCTGTTCTTGTATTTCTTTGAACGAATTTACAATTCAAACCCCACCTGGTCAAGTTGCTGGAGCGGTCAGTCAAGGGTAAGTTCAGTAAATCTGGGAATATACATAAAAAAAAGAATATATCTTAAAAGACATTAATAAATTTGAAAACGTTGAAATAATTAACTATTCATTTTAGCATTACAAATTCAATGAAGATAACAAAATTCAGGTCATTAAATCGTTATGAAATCGAAATAGTTTATCTTTATTTTCCAGACCAAGTTTGATGTCAACAATTTATAATATTGAGAGTGGTGATGGACAATTATTATATAAAATTACAAACAACAATTGTTTACTTTGTGGCAACGCTTGTGCCGAGAGAATTCCTTTCACGGTAAGGTTTATTTCCTAGTAACATACTATCCAATCTGATTAAAACACAGATCCTATTTCGTTTCGTTTTTATAGTTCAAAATTTCGTTTTACTTGTTTTTACTACACTTGGATCTGGAAGAGTTGTTATTTAACTCGTGTTCTAAATGGTGTCAGGGATAAGGCAATGAAAAGGTCTGTTACGGCGAGCTTTAGGCGTGTTTTGCACTGAACTGTGGGTAATCCACTAGTAACATCAATGATGATTGGTTAATCAAACGTCTGACATCATAGGGTCATAAGTCGGTCTTTTGACCCCTGATGTGACCTATCGCTATAATTTGTCAGATCTTCATGTAGTGTAGACCATCAAAAGTATAAAAAACGAAACGAAATATAGATCTGTATTTTAATCAGATTGCATACTATCTGACAACTTATTATTGCTGTTCGCGTTTTAAATAGTATTATGACAAGACGAAGATCCCTAATCCTTTTCCGCATAGGGAATATTTTTAGAGTTATGGCCCCTTGATTTTACATAAAATGAATAAAAACTATCTGGGTTTGTGTCTAAATTTCACGAAACTTGTCTGAAAAACTCGTGTTCGTGATAGTGGCTATAGTTTTTAACGGTTTTATTTCAAATTTGGCGTGGAATATTGTGTTGAAAGAGGACGAACCCTATCGATATTTAGCGTTCCGTGATCCCCCTTTCTGGAATCCCCACCCCACGCCCCCGTTTGCGAATACTTTGTGTACTAGATAGAATTAAGCTACTGTTTCTAACGGATTCTTTTTGCATTTTTTGGGAAGCATTAGAGTCACGCAGCGACTAACTCTATCGATATTCCACGTTCCGGGGGCCGTCCGTTGTTGTTATTCTTAGTGTTTAACGTCCGCTTCCACCGACGGTGATATCGCAGTAAACCCATGAGGTCGAGAAGGCGCCCCTATCTCCATGCCACATACGCTCAAATGAGGGATCGAAACCACAGCCGCAAGCTAGAGGTCGAAGCTCGGCACTGTAGACCACTAGGCCATCCAAATGATTATAATGTGTAGCCTATATTATAATGGTAGATACTGATTATATAGCGACACGGTTTGTGTATTATTATAATGGTAGATAATAACTATTAGCAAGTTTGGTGTATATTATCATTGTAAATTGTATCACTAAATAGCAGCACATTTTGTGTATATTATAATTTTAAATAGTGACTATATATTGCAATGACTTTTGTGTATAATGTAATTGTAGATAACCAGCTATTACCAATACGGTTAGTGTATATTATAATTAAAAATAATGACTATATAGCAATGGCTTTCGTGTATATTCAAATTGTAGATAACTTGCTATTATCAATACGTTTAGTGTATTTCTACTTTTTGCGTATATTATAATGGTAGATAATGCCTTTTGTGTATATTATGTGGATAATAATTATTAGCAATAAGTTTTATGTATATTATATTTCTAGATAAAATCAGCTGATAGTGGTGTACAAGTTGGGACAATACAAGCGATGCAACAAGATATTTTTCAAAAAATGTTAACAAATAGTGCTGGATTTATTGTAACATGTATGTTATTATAGCTTACTTATACATTGTTGTAAACGTTCTTGTATTGGAATAAGAAATCGGCAACAATTCATTATAGACGAAAGAAAAACATGTACAGGCTATATAGCGAATAAGATATTTTAAGTATGAAAAGTTGTTACTCTCATTTATGAACGTTGATAGCCCAAATATATTTATAATGTACCATGTATAAAATCTTAATTAGTCCAGAATTATATTGCTTTTAAAATGGGCGACGCCATACTATTTAAAGGGGCCATATCAGCTCTACAGACCCATATATTTCATATGTAATACTTTGACTGTTTTCTAGTTGATGGTACTCTTGATGCGAGGGAAAAGGCTATATTAATGGCTTGTGGTTTCTTTGTGGTAAGTAGGAGCAATGTATTATAGGGCGAGTGGAAATATGTAATAATGTTGGGAAATATTGCATAAGTAACTTAATAGTTTCGGAAAATGCTTTTCCGGGTAATACTACAATAACGCAAAACTTTGCACTGAATGCTAATAGATTGCGATATGTTTAATGACCGTGGCCGCCGCTTGAATGTGGTAAATTATGCCAACTTGTTTGAATGTGGTAAATTTAGCTTAGTTAATTATACTAAAGACGGGTGGGAATATTTAAATTAATATTTTAATGCTCAAAGTACTTTTACTCATGTTTCAAAATAATATACTATTATTATTTGGTTTCCTTGATTGTTTTCTGTTTGATTAATGGTCCGTAAATTTTATGCATTTTTTATCGATCATGACACACTATTGACGATAAATATGAAAGTAACATGAAAATATAGAATGAGACATCATCGTGAAAATAATAAATGAGCCGTTTACAATATTATAACATCATTACTGTGAATACGTTTTTCTAAGCAGTTATTTGCTGAGATACATTATTTTATAGAGATGTTATATAATAATAAACGATACCCCCCTCCCCCCCGCGTCCTTTTGTCCATCTGGTTGATACATTTACTCCATGAGCCTTTAATGGTTGGATCTGTTCTGTTCATGGAATGCAGTAGACTTGTTAATATTATGGTGTTCAAACCACATTCTATATTTGTCCCCCGCCTTTCGAAGTAAGAATGTGCCTATTAAAATGGGTTCGTCCGTCTGTCTGTCCGTCCGTCCGTCCGTCCGTCTGTCTGTATGTCCGTCCGTCACACTTTTTGGTACACCATAACTCTCTTTCTAATTGAGCTAGAATGTTCAAACTTGGTGTAGGTGTTTATTAGGTCAGTGCCTTGACGGAGTTCGAAGATCAACATTTTCTGCTTAGGATAAGCAGAGATAAGCAATTTGATTGGTTGATGTTTTGGGACACAGTGACTTCAGTTCTAATTAAGTGAGAGTGATGACACTTGATTTATAGTTTCATTACATCATTACCTTGACTAAGTTCAATAATGAGCATTTTCTTCTCAGGGTAAGCAGAGCGATAAGCAATTTGATTGGCCGAGACTTTGGAACACAATAACTCTCCTTCTAGTTGAGGTAGAATGTTCAAACCTGTTGTAGGCGTTCATTAGGTGAATGCCTTGATGGAGTTCGATGATAAACATCGTCTGCTTACGGTAAGCAGAGATAAGCAATCTGATTGGTTGATGCGTTGGGGCCAATAACTTTAGTTTTAATTAAGTGAGAGTGATGAAACTCCGAGTATAGATTCACTATATCATTACCTTGAGGTTAAGGATCGATAATCAGTTTGATTGGTCAATACTTTGGAACACAACAACTCTGCTTTCAATTGAGGTAGAATGTTTAAACTTGACGTAGATGTTCATTACGATTAGGTGAATGTCTTGACGGAGTTCAATGATTAACATTTCGAGCTAAAGCTAAACAGTGCTAAGCAATTTTATTGGTCGATGCTTTGGGACCAGGGGCCTGTTTCACGAAAATTTAGCTAAGATAAAATCCAAATTTTAGTAATTTGATTGGATAATATTAGATTGATTTTAGTGCTTCGCCAATCAAAATTTAGGTATCTACTAAAATTGGATTTTATCTTTAGTTAAAATTTCGAGAAACAGGGCCCAGATAACTTTGATTCTATCTGATATAGGGTGATGAAACTTGGTGTATAGTTGATAATCGGCTTGATTGCTTGGTACTTTTGAAAAAAATAAATGTGCGATAAATTAATATGTGTCATCTATTTATTTTGGGATATCAGCCTCACTGTTGGCTTGGTTTTTTTTTACAGGAAGCCAATTTCTACGCACAGTATCATCGTGGTGGCAGAAGACGTCGACGTTGAAACCGGAAAATGTGAAAACAGTTACCATTACCAAAGCATGTTATTGACGCTCTCGGCAGCAACGCTTAATTTGTATTAATTTTTATACTAAGTAGCTTACTGAGTGTTGATTAATATATTTATATTTCGATACTTTTATCAGACCCGGAACTTTATGCTGCACAAGTGGGATTATTTATAGGATTTATTTACGTTATGTTATTTTTTTCGCATAGTCTGCATATTATGACAATAACAATTTGTTCCGGTTATTTATTTCGTATATTCACACATAGGCTTATAAAATCTGCTGTTTCAAATGGCAATACAATAAATGTGCATCTTCTTTGTGCTGTCTACCTGTTCTTTGGAGAGAAAAACGTCAGCGCTCATGCCTATTCAAGCTTTAAAAAGATTCAAAAGATTGTTCATATCCAAGAAACGGCATCCTATACAGCTAATAAAATAAACATATTATAGATCTGAATATAGGGATAAAGTATAAGTGTTTATCAGTATTAAACCACAGTAGCGGATATTTATTAGATTTTTATTCCTTTTAGTTATCTTTATAAATCGCTTTCGACTATTTGTTTATATCTTTTACACTGATTTAATGTTATATTTTTTGTTATCATAAATTGTAATGTTGTTACGATTACTATCTATGTTTTATTTTATATAATGTCTATGTTTTATACTCTTTTTCAAGTTGTTTTGATTAAATGAATATTTACAAACTATTGCAATAAAATAAAGTGGAAATGAAATGGAGATTAAAGTCTTATTTATCTGTAACATCTGGGCTAAGACTGGAAGTAAGTGATGATTCAGCTATTGGTTATTTTTTCCATGTTCATTATAATATAGAAAATCAGACTCTTGAAGAAATATAATGGCACCAATTACAATTTGTTGTAATAAGTAAGAATAGTCCCGGGACGATAACAATGAGTATTAGAATTAAATGAAGAAGAGCCCTAAATATTTTGTTTGTTAGTTCTGACCAAGCTTACTCGAAGAAATTCAGCTAGGAGTTGATAGATCTATAGGCTCAAATTTCTGTTCAAATAATTACAATAAACAAAACGTTTATTTTGGAATAATGAAGCTAAAGTACATGTATACATTTACATTTGGGGTGGCATTGAAAAATCAAGATGTTGTGATTTTCACTATGGCAATACAATTCCATGAAAGAACATGCTTTCTATAATAACAACATTGCTAGATTACTTACTTGCTAAAAAGACGATTAAAAGGAATAAGAGCTTATTGTTTTGACATTATTTTGTGCTGTAATTAAATTATGCGAACGACAAATATTCCCGCTATTGTGACCGATGGTTAAATAAACGTCCGGTTATATAAAAGTCGTAAAATGTTTATTATACTTTATAGGTAATACGATATTGAATTTTTAAAATCATATCTTTTAATACCCGACCGCTGCGGCCCCCACCATACTAGGAAAAGTATATTCACGCAGCATGGTTTGGCCGTGGACTTGGCCCGCTCTTATTGTCTAGGTTATTAAATGCAGCCAAGTGTGGTGTGTTTTAGAACAATTTTTTTTTTGTTGGGGGGGGGGGGATTGGAACCAAAAGTGTGCTTTGTAATAACACTGCAAACAGTTCTTCCGATAACGTTGTCTGGAATTTTAAAATCTTACTTGAAAAGACTAAAGAAGCGTATAGTCGAATCGTCAATCAGTAAGTAATAAACTATAATTGTATTCCACAGAATTGTGACCTGTGTATAAATTTCATAGGGTTCTTCCTGTCAATATGATATTTCAGATATATCGAATCTTTCACCTTTCGAAATGTTAACACGAATCGGTGTTGAAAGTATAAAAAGAAAAGGTTTTAAAATTCTATACAACATTGTGTCTATGATTCAAATAAAACAAAAATGTGAACAAAGTGACAAAATTGAAATTGTTAGCCAGTGACAAGTGGTATCTGGAGTTTCAAATTATATTATAGACCCCACAGTCATTCGCTGTTATGTGTTATTAATTTTGTATTCACGGGGCGACGGAATGCAACTCATGTCGCGATTGTAGTTACATTTAGTTACGGTTAGTTCTAAGTTCTTGTATTGTAGGGCGTCAAGATGAAATGTGATATGAATATAGATGTACGTTGTGAAGTTTTAAAATGTTTTATTACATATGGAAGACCAAATGGGACAATATTCATGATTCTTGCTTCTACATTCCAGTTTGAGCATTTTAGACACGAACGCAACATTCTAAACTAATGATGCTTGTTTCTACATTCTTATGTCAACATTTCATGCACAAAATCCTCTGGTGTAATAATGTTGATAATTCATTATATTTTTCTGGACATTTTCATTTCAAGATTTTAACTTCAAACTTTTTGAAACGTAGAAAATATTTTCATAAGAGTTCAAATTCAGATTTTTTTTTAGATTCTTTCAGAAACCAATGAATTGATTTCTTTGTCGTGTAAAATTAAGAAATTATTTTTTAATTTTAATATTTAATGATATATAAAAGTTACCGATAAAACGCCGAAAATGAAACATAAAGTCAATTTTTTGTTTAAAATGTTGATTTTGTGCATGAAATGTTGACATAAGAATGTAGAAACAAGAATCATTAGTTTAGAATGTTGCGTTCGTGTTTAAAATGTTCAAACTGGAATGTAGAACTAAGAATCATGAATATTGTCCCATTTGGTCTTCCATAATAACACACTATATACAGTCTTATATAGATTATAAGAATTGATAAGACTATAGTCAGTCTTTATAATAATAGGTAATAGTATATTTAACCTTTTATACTGATATGCCTTATCTCCAATATCACATAATATAAACATTGACGGGCGTATACACGAGGTGGGGTGAATTCTGGTTATCAATAAGTTCTAATTTTGCACCTTTCTTTTAATACTCCTTGATTAAAATATCTAAGAACCAAATGGTTTTTTTCTTGCTGAAGTTAATTACGCGGACTTTATTTACATGTAGCTGTTTTATCAAGATTTTATTTTCTCGGGCGACTTGAAACAAGAAGGGGTCTTTTAAATGTGCATTTTTGGATCCTATTATAGAACTAGTATACCTGGTGTTAATTCTGAAAACAAATTAGCCCCAATGGTTCTGTGGTAATATTTGGGTCTAAAACCATAGATTAAATATGGGACTGCCCTCCACGGTTGAATTTATGGCTCCGTATCGACTGTAATCTATAAGACGAGTGTGTTGTTGAGTTGTTAATATACCTCTTACAAATCACCATACATATGAAATGTTCTAGCTCGGAATATTAGGAATGTAATTGTTATACTTGATGTGCATTTAAAGTGAGATGAATATAGCAACGTGTTTAGTTTCCTGATTTAAATGGTGGACAAATGTAACAAAGACACTAAAACAAAATCTCGATCTCTGTAATGTATTCTGTTCATCTATTTGTGTAGATTTCTTGAAAGAAAGGTGAAAAAAAATGCGACGTGTGTAAAAGAATCATAATTTACGGATATTTTAAACCATAACAGTCGTTTAAAAGTGCTTCTCGACCTATCAGTTGTTTTTTTATAGCTGATGTGGCGTTAACCTTTCTTGGGTATTCTGTTTTTAAATCTTCAATCCGGAAATTTGTCTTTAAAGACAACGAATTACAAACGTCTTATCGAGGGATATATTAAAAACTTAGAATACACATAGATTTATTTTGTCTACCATTCTGACGATTCGTGTAATCTAGAATATTGCTAAGAAATATCAGCTCTTTGAATCGTTTAACTATCAATGATTCTGATTTTCGGGGTATTTGATTACAGATATTCTTACTAACATACTGTTTATGATATTTTGTTCTTAAATATACATATAAATCCAAGCAGTATATTTTGGAATAACAAGAAATGGACATGGACTACTGTTACAAATTGTATGTCTATTGATTTCTTTAAGCCAATAATAGTCAACAAGTATTAGAATCAATACAGAAATCAGTGCTATTGTTGACTCGACATTGTGTTTGAGTAATTACTTAATGCTAATAATGTTTACGTATTGTAATGTAATTACTATAAGGAACAGTATCTTAGAAATATTGACAGAGTACATGGACATTGTATTATGCTCAAACTTTGGCCTGCTACACAAAGGTTTTCAGAAATAAGGATGACCACTTCATCTTCGAATAAAGGTAATATCTTAATTTTGTTCAATATATATCAGTTTAGCAAAAAGAATATTAAGATAAAACAAATAAGCAAACACGCTTTTTATATAATGATAGCCTTTCAAAATATCAATAATAAAGATAGCCACGCAAAGCGTGGAATACGCCAACACAGTAGCTTGTCTCAACTGTCTCCTTATCCGGAAGGAAAACTTGGATGTTGAGCAAATTTGCTAAGGATCTAGGATCCTTGAAGAAATCTAATCTCTAAGGGATCGATGACCCCAATGCCAAATATGAAAAATTATCACGTTCACAAGGCGGCATCCGGACCGGAACGGTCGCAGAACGCTGGATATCAAACGGAAAGTTATGGAAAGCCGAAATGCGATAAGATTCAAGAACGGAAAGTCGAGAAACGCTGAAGATAGATAGGATTCGTTCTCTCGATCAATTTGAAAAGAATCCATCAAAAACTGTAGCCTCTACCGCGTTCACAAGCTAATTGTTGACGGAACGACGGTAAGGGTGACAACATAATACGCCCACACTGATATGTGAGCATATGAAAATTAAGTACAATTTATCCTAAACAGTAGTCAAAATACAATGCCCAATATGCAAAATTGAGTAATCGTGTATAAGGAATCATTGTGGAAGCTGGATAATGTAATATACCACTAAGTTGTCAATGAATTACAACTAATCAAATTAAAAAAAATTTTGTTCGTAGTATACCAGGAAAAATGACACGGATATAAGGCTTCAATGATCGACGCACATAAATGATAATTAACTGTCCTATTACAAGTCAGGGGGGGGGGGAGAGAAATGGAGTTTGACGTCCATTCGACACAAACTAGGTCATTTCCGGACTAACATATGGTTCAATTTAAGTTCAATAATTCGATTGTGCGTAGGGGTCTTTAGCAGTGGGAGGAAATCGGAGGACCCAGAGAAAGCCACGAGGTTGGACAGGCGACCCGACTCCTTGTAGCGTACATTTGGCGAATCGAAACCCCGCCAGTTGACTAAATGACAGACCTTATGATACAGCGCGCACATGCTAACCATTCGGCCATCAAACTCCTCTATACATAATGAAACTAGTCATCAGGTCTATTTGGGACACAACATCTGTTTAACGTTTAATCATACATTGTACCGAAACTAAGAAAATTATTAATCCAATTTACCCCATTCAGTATTTTATTTTGACAAAAAATAAAGAAAGTTTAGCCCCTTTAACTTTTTGTGAATTGGCTGGAGATAAGTCATTGATGTAAAAGTTTTTATTTAAAGGTGGGAATAAATTACTTGCTGTAAATTACAATATATTATATTATAGATACCAGTCATCGTGGCAGAAACAACAGATCTACTGTTATACATAACTGGTCTGACCAGGATACCATATACACTCAACAATTATACCTTCACAGACTGAACAAACTTAAAGACGATCTATACAGGGGAGACAAATATTCTAGAAGAGAAGTAAACGAACGTGTTCATCCATTATATCGAAATCCAAGATTCCGGACTGAAACAAGTAATAGTAAACCAAACCTTCATTTGCAGACTTTAAATAACCAAAAGAACCACCTTCCTTCCACGAAGCCTCTGTTCTTCAACTTATGTCATTCATACGCGTACAAAGAAAAAAAGGATTTATTAAAATTTGAACAAGGTGGCCGTTTCAAAAACAATTTTGGTAAGACCAAGTCTTATCGCTTAAAACCACTCGAGTCAAATTTGTACAAGGATGGGTATGTTGACACAGTTAAATCTATCGGTGCTAAAACCCAAAGCAGCCATCCTTTCGTATTAAAACATGAAACCAAAGAGCACCACAAGGAACCACACAGATTAAATCGACATTACCAACAACCTAAAACAAGTCACACAATTAAAGGAAAGGTGCCAAAAATAATCAAAACGTCTCCCCCTGATATAGACTTTTCAGAAAGGTCATTAAATAATAATGAACACATTACACGTCATCGTCTTTCACCCTTCCACTTGATGTCTTCACAAAGAGATAATTTTGTATATCCCCTTAGACCGATGTTAGAAAGAGAGAAAACTGATTATGAACCAATTGAATCAATCAGTGCTAGAAACAAGCTGGACTTTGAACATTACTTCAATGATTCAGTGTCGAACGAGACAGAAATTAAGTCCACTGGTTCATCGCAACTAAATATACAACTACCAGTTCTGCAATAAGAGATCTATAAGCATTGAATTTTTGAAGAAAAGTGATTATTTGTACTTAATAAAATTGTTTGCCGTACAGATTATTGAATATTCGGGACGACTGGGTAAATGGTAGCTGGTTGTGGTTAGAGTTGATTGACTGCGACTAGGGTTAGGTATGGTTTGAGTTGATTGTCAGTAAGGCAGTATATGGGTTAGGGTTGATTAGCAGTAACCTGGGTTAACTTAAGGTTGTTTTTCAGTTAACATTAACAGCCAACTGTCTGGCTTGATTAGGATTTGTCTGGTTTAGATTAGGGTACATTGGGGGAAACCGGTACATTCGCAACAATCTGGATAAGATATGGCATGGGTTAATTGGTAATAATCTCGATACGGTATGGTATGGGTTGATTGGTAACCATCTCGATTAGAAAAGGTATGAGTTGATTAATAATAATCTCGATTAGATGATTGGTTAGACATGGTATGGGTTGATTGGCAAGAATCTCAGTTAGAACTGAGGTTGTGATTATGCAATCTGTTGTACTGTGAAACCATGGCTCACTCGCTAATTGCATACCATTCGTGGTACATTGTTTTATGGCTCTTGCACCAACGACTACCATTATTACGCATCACTTCCTATTTTTAGTGAAAAGTCCAGTCCTTGCAGATGCTTTACATTTTATTCATTTCGTATTTAAATAACAAATTAGGAAATGAAATGAAAAGAGGTTTAACGTCCTACTTTTCTGCTCCGACTGGGCTATTGAAGACGGGTATACGCTATACAATGTGCCATGAGACAAATTTTGCCCGGACAGCGGCGCAACGGCCTACTCTTATATTGAATTCCAACTGCCAAGGGATATTTACGTGCACGCCAAACGAACGACTATAGGTTTCCCTTGCCAGGCTCTCTGTCCTGCAGCACTAAAAAGGAGGAACCACGCCGGAAACTCCCGACAAACTTTCTTGGCCCACACAGGGATCGAACACGAGACCTCTAGCATAGCGAGCCAGCGTCTTACTCAGTGATCCACCGTGGCTTCAAATTAACAATCTAACAATTCATAATAATAATCTATACAGGTTTCAAATTCATAATCGCGATAGATTACACCATCCTCCCCCCCCCCCCCACACACACACCGGTTTTCTGATAACTAATATATACAATATTATAGACATAACCATACCTAATCTCTGAAACTATATATAGAAAAAATATTTATCGTCATTATACACAGGTTTTATTCTGATATGTTAGGATGTGTCCGCAAAAAGTTCTCCCCTTTCGAACATTTCGGTCTGGCAATTACGAAAACGTTTATCTTGGGCGACATATTCCCGGTGGTTGGGATATCAGGTGGTCTTATGCACCTTGTAGACCAATGGGGGAAGTTGGGTGGGGGTGGGGTTACGCTGCAGTTGTGAACGTGCCAAGGATCGCCCAGTTTTCCCTACATCCGAACGCTCATAATGCGAAATTAAATATACATATATATTTTTTTTATAAATGACTAAAAGAAAAGAAAAGAGGGGCCAACCTGTCGTATACGGCATACATTCACTAAAATGGGCGTGTGAAAGAGCATGCCCCATGCAATGTGTTACGAGGGAAACTTTGCGGCGCTACAAACTACTCTTATTTCGTACACAGGGCCTCAGTCTTTCGTACGACCGGAACGACAAGACGTTGTTCCTTGCATCACTGACAAAGAGGAACCATGCCGGAAAATTCCAAGGAACTTTCTCGGTCTACACGGTTAGCGAGCCAGCGCATTACTCACTGAGTCACCGTGGCTTCCACATGTGCATCGAATCGAATTGGTTTTATTAATCAACGCACAAACAGGCGTCTGTTACAGTAATAAATTTCCAGCCAATTATCATTAATGTGCTTAATCTAAGCCAACGAGGAGAAATATAGTATTTAGAAAATAATAAGGATAACTTCAGTTTTATTAGACATGCGTAATCAAAATGATAAACGATGTTTAGCCTACTTAAATGAAAATAAATATAATTTTAACGAATAGTATTCTATGTCGACCTAAACCTTTCCTGGTAAGGCTATCCAAATTAATACAATATTTGTTGCGTTTTTATTTTGTAGCCTATTTTCACCACTGATTTAAACTAAAGTTTAAAGATAGGATAGGAATGGGATTTAACGTCTCGTCCACATAATGATATGAGTTATTATTACATTTTAATTTCCTCGCTACACTTTCATTTATTTTTAAAGGAAATACTCAGATAACAACGTATTTTCATGAAACAAAATCTATTTGCAAGCTGTTCCATGATGACACCTGGAAGTGACGCATGCGTCGTGTTGTGAAATTAAACGGATCGATAAATATTCTACGTCTCCTCTATGGCGATATTTCTCTGACAGTCGTTTAATTGTTTTGGTCAAATCAAACATCGTAGTCGCGTGGCCGCCAAGCTCCATTTTCAAGCTGAAATCCGACAGGTGTGACCCGATTTTTTTGGTCACCGTAGCCGAAATGTTGTGACTGAATGACAGCTGAATAGTTTAAAAAAAACAACCAAGAACGCGTGTTGAATTGTAACCAATATAGGAGTTGGATATAACACGGTAAATCTATAATACGTCTCTGTCTTGAGAAATAACTAACTATACGATGAATATAATAAATAAGCCGGTTACTGTTTGTTTGTGTGTGAGTTAGTTTTATTTAACGTCCGCTTCCACCGAGGTGATATCGCAGACAAAACTGTTTGTTTGGTTGACTATTGTTTATAAGGATGCTAGGCTATTCTTCATCACCATTGAAGGTAGGTCTGCTCTTTTATTATTTTCATTGTAACTCATTCTAATATTAAAAGGCGTTTTTATGAATGGTGATTAAGATATCATCACAACAATAACTATGTCATTTTGAGACTGACATATCGTTCTTTTTTATTAGTAACGTGTATAATGCCCGGACAGTGTCAATGTTTAGGCTATCTTGAATGTAATTTAACTTAAACCTAACTTATATTCTTATATTATATTCGACCATGATTTAACTTAAACCTAACTTATATTCTTATATTATATTCGACCATGATTTAACTACATACAAACAGTTGTGAATATTTTACAATGCAATGATTACTAACACATAAAAATACTTGAAACATCAGTGTTTTTGAGGCATGTCAACTGTATATACATATATGTCTTATATTAATGCTTTAAATGCATATCAATCAATAATGTACAAATACATAAACGCATTGACATGTCGTTTAAACTATAGATTTACTATATCTATTGTATTATTTACATTATTAAACCTGAATATCAGTATTCTACACGTTATATATATATAGGTATTCGATATTTCTTTGGTAATAATAATTGAATGTGGATCTAATTTTCATTACCCATGCACCGTCACATTTACAGTCCAGTAAGCATGGAACAATTAGAGAAATTTGATCTATAATGACTAAATGAATATTGTTTTTTAAAACGTGATTATACATGTAATATAGACCTAATATAGTACGTCTTACACAGCAGATGTTAACAATTAAATAAAATAAAAACGTAATGGTTCTTTTTAATATAAATGTGTTGCATGCTGTTATGCAATATGCATTACGTTACACCATCTTCGCATTGTCTGTGAAATTGGCATACGTGGGATGATGTCGACGAGGAGACCTATTGACTTGATACACGTGATAATCCATTCCATTTGGAAATTACTGAGTTTATCAGATATTAGACTACGAGTAAATATGTAACTATAGAAACATTTCTGTTCTATATACGAATTTATTGTTCCAGAGTTGACGTTTATCCGCCATATTTAGAATGGATGATTTCATCAAAATGTAAACACGTATATATAAACATACACATTCATTATTGGTCAATTAATAAGTCCATCATTATTATACTATTATCATCACAGATAAACAAAATGCAAACATGTTCATGGGAAACTGGGACCTTTAAATGACTAACCTAAATAACAAGGACGCTTTAAAACACATAAAATCTATTATAAGGTCCAAGGTCAGATTAACCCAACCCCATCCTGTATTTTGATCTTAATTAAAGAGACGTAGCTCCTTTAATGGAAGAAATTGCACAGTTTCCACCTGTGTCCTGTTTAACACAGTTTGCATGCGATTTTAATTATATTGTACTGGTAATTCATTTTTAATATATATATTCTCTCTTTTGTAATAATTCTTAGTCGAATCTTATCATTTGCTTTGTCTCTAATTAATTAATGGCGATTGTATGTTGGCCGTAGATAAGGTTGTTTATATTTGAGATAAACAACTAAGATGTATAATCGATCGTCCCCGTCTTATTAGCCCAGTTGGTGTAGAAAAGTAGGACGTTAAACCCCACTTCATTAATTCATAATCGATGTAGGCCTACTGATGAAGTCGTACTAAAAGGTGATCCACTTCGAGATTCTAAGACATATACAGATCGGCTAATTCCAAATTCCGCCTTTCAATGACGTAACTTTCCGAATATCCATACTCTGTTGAAGATGTTTTTTTTTTTTGCTGAACGTAAATCACATTGTGCATTAAAATATCGTAATTATTAGTAAGGTCATGACAATGTACATGTTATTAGTATTACTAACATTAGTTATTTTAATTAGTCATGGCGATTAATAGCAAGGATATTATTTTCTTTTAGCACCAACATCCTTATTTATAGTACTAAAAATAACTGCAATTAATTCTTTTCCTTTGTAATTTATTGTGTTTTCTGGTAAGAAGATTGACCTATATCATGTTAGGTCTGAAGCAGATTAATACAAGTACACGTAATTTTCATATAAATGTTTTACGTGTATATCACAATTTAAGTATTGTTTACAGGGATTAAGGGATTAGTATGTAATTAAGTCTTGTCCATAATCAAAGACTTATACGTGTGTGTTTGAACTGGTTCGTATTACTCGATATAATAGAACTCATTTCTCCATAGGTGGTTCGTATATTGCTGTCCAGTTTAACCATTCTCTGTGAAATTCTAATCAGTAGTAAGAACGAAAGGATATCACCACACCCTCACATGATTCAGTTCTTATTTCCAACATCTGTAGTCATGGGCAAGGTATCGGTTCTTTTCTGATCAAGGATTATTAACCTACTGAGGGCAGTATGTTGAGTATAGTAAGTTAATGTATGTTTCTGTCAGTTTTAATTACGAACAAATAACTAGTATTAATATTCCTATTTGATATAATTTTATCGTCGTACAGAGTTAATCAATATAACGTAGTACACTTGTAGAATATAGTTTACTTTAATATGTCAATATTTGAAAAACTAATTTCTACAAAAAAAGATGTTAAAACATGTGCCATTATTTTACAGGTGGTCTTTACTTAGACTGTATAGGCAAGTGGGGTTAAAACATGTTCGAGTAGAAGGGGGTTCATTTTATTTTCCTGAAGCAGTGGATACGAGCAATGGTCAGCTAATTAATTATTGTTAAATGCAGTGTTTCGGATTATTTATCTTACCTCCCGTCGGTTCCTATACGTCGACTTGCGGGTATGCTAAAATGTAAACATTTTTTTCTCTTGTTAACCATTGTCGACTCGAGATTTCAACTTTCAATTTCTCTGCCAGAGCTACTCGGATTAAAATAAACTATACATTTCCGAAACTCATGATCGATCCTGGTTGGAGGGTTGTACATCAGTTATAGATTTAATACAAGCACGCAGTGAAACACCCTTGGTTGCACCAACTATTTTGATTGGCCAATAGCGAACCCAGTAAACAATTTGTATAGATATGCATTCAAAGCGTAGCGGTGTCTTTCATGTAGTACATGTAAGTGTAGCAATAATTGATGAGCTGACCATTGATTGTAACCCCTATTTCAGGACCTAATGTTTTGGACCAATGTAGTTTCAATGTAATATATTCAGCAATTCGTTTTACTCTGATTGGTTATTATTCAGTCTTTATATGAAGCTGTAGTTGGATCGTATTTGAATAAAATTATGCATCCAAAATCCTTGTTGCCGACAATGTTTTTCGCACAACGTGTCCGCACAAGGGTTAAATGTATTTAATGTTCTTAATCGAACTGCAAAATTTCATTGACCACCCATCTTTAAATTCAATGAATCGATATGCGAACCCATGTTCGATTACTTCTATTTTAATCCAGATATTCTTATTCTTCACCACTGATTAGGATTCGTTGATCGTCTTTTAGAAATAGAGAGTACAATATTAGCCACAATATGCAGTTAAAATTATACTAGCGAGGAAAGAGGAAATCTGTGTTGGCAGATGATATCAATAATTCAAATATATCTGTATAAATTCTGTACATAATTACCTCGGTTAATTAAAAATCATCGGTAGGGCCTATGTGTTTCATTGATTTTTGCTATATAGCTATGATTGTCGTACTTTTCTGGCTCAGAATAGCGCAATCGTCGTCACATTACGGTATATGTTGCCATATCCTTGTGTAATTGGATAATTGTATAATAAGAGCGGAAAACGGAATCTAGATTAACTTCTATTGTGGTAATAAAATCTAAAAGTCCTCCTTTCATTAGGTAAATTTCAAAGGACAGGGCAAATTTGATCAGATCTGATGTACCGATTTTACCGAATGTTGAGATATTGCCGGTAGTCGTTGTTCCCGATTTCGACTGACAAAACCACAACCTAAAATAACAGTAGTAAAGAGACCTCCCCAAAAATACCACACCAGATGTAACAAAAGTTCTTTATTGGCATTTATCGATTGAACACAATAAAAACACAGCCAAATTTATACGGAAAACAATCACTGGTTTGCACATGCACATATAGCACGATGTTTCGACAAGTGTTCTTAAATCGTTATCTGATTAAAACACAGATCTATATTTCGTTTCGTTTTTTGTTATACTTTCGCCGTCCTACACTACACGAAGATATGACCAGTTGTACTGCAAGGTTACGCCAGGGGTCGTATGAGCGGCTTTTGACCCTATGCCATCAACATTGATTAATCAATCGGCGTTGACGTTTAGACTAGTGGTTTACCCACAGTTCCGTGCATAGCACGCCAAGAAGTCGCTGTAACAGATGGTTTCATTGGCTAATTCCACACGCCATCCAGAACGCAAGTTATATAACAACTCTTTCAGATCCTATTGTAGCACAGACAAATAAAACAAAATTTTGAACCATAGGATCTGTGTTTTTATCAGATTGGATTTTTTGTAACTAAAGCTACACTTGACACACATGGAATGATTATATTAAAGATATTGTTTTAGTTATTTTTAGAAATGTATAATGGGTTATCCTTAACGGTAACGTTGCAAGACAAATTCACACCGGATTAACCCTTGTTTATAAATTAGTCTATATATGACTGATAATATACTTTGAAAAGAAATATAGTTTGGATTGATTTCAGGTTTTTGGACTTATGTGTGTGAAATAAACATATATTTGTATAAGTCAATAATAGCATTAACATGATTGTATTCAGCATGTCATGGGTTCGCTCTACAATCTGTTATATTCTGAACTACAATGACGCAGAACAGAAAAACGTTTTTATGGATTTGGTATTAATTTATGTTAATGTTAAAAAGGAATATATACCTCATATTAATAATCAGAAACGTTAAAAAGCATAGGTAGTTGTATTTCAGCAAGAGATTGGTGATTATGCAAGGTGATCGCATGTCAGCTATATTGTTTTTCAAACTTTATAGGAGGTTGGATGACCCAATGGTTAGTGCGTATGCGCTGTATCATACGGTCTGTCATTGAGTCAAATTACGTGGTTTAGATTCTACGGTTGTACGTGACAAGGAGTAGGGTCGCCTGTCCAGCCTCGTGGGTTTTTTCCGGGTCCTCCGGTTTCCTCCCACTGTTAAAGACCCCTACGCACAAACGAATTATTGAAATAAAATTGAACCATATGTTAGTCCTTGAAATTACCTAATTTATGTCGAGTGGACATTAACCCCCACCCCTCTCTCTCTTTCTCTCCCCCTCTCTCTTTATACACAATCGAACAATTTCCATATTGCATAATATTTAATAAAATTGTAATCTATCAATTTATTTAAGGAATAAATCAATTAAATTTATTGCAATTAAAGTAGAAAATGTTTAATGTCTAGTCTGTAGGATCCTTGCACATAATTATATAAATCAGTCGTGTCGGGCGTGCTAGAAAAATTTGACACACTCGTCTTCAGCAGTTTTCTATTTGCATATGAAGTTAATTAACATAATAATGTACAATCAATATAACAATCTATAGGGCTAACATTCAAACAAGGAGAAGACAAAACCTCTTATGGACCGAGACTTCTTTAACGAGTGCCATTTCAGGAAACGGAAACCATTTGACTAGGAATTTATTAAAGGCTTACATGCTGTCATGATTGTAATTATATCCAATAATAACACCAACTGACTTGTGGTGAATGGTTTAGATTCTTGATAATAAACAATAAAAACTATATTTGATGTAGAAAAAGATGCCTCGGGGATAGATATTTATCACATCCCTTGTTGGTCGACCTCACACAGGAAAATGTGCAAATTGTATTAACACTTTTGTTATAACGAGATTTGAGCTTAAAATATAATCTATTCTTATTTAATCATTCCACTTCGTTTTATATTACAGGTCAAGACGTGGGAAAGAGAATAATTGCCACCGTTTAGTATTGCTCATTTCTACGACTTAAAGGCCAAGCGAAAGGAAGAGAACAAGATTCTTGATTGGTAACGTGATTCAGAAATAAACATTTATTGCTCATCTAGGCGAGGCGGGGAATATTTAGGATTTATTGTGAAATAGTATATTTGTTAAAGAATGTACCATTGTGCTGGATTACATATAAATACCAGTTTGTACCAATGGATTGTTTCGTATTGGAATTTTAGAAAATGATTAAAGGGTGGATAAAGGGAACAAGGTGTGAACTATTAAAATGTTTTAACAGAGTGACAATGAAGATGCCTTTCGACTAATATGGTGAACAATACAAAAGACTTTTGCAGAAACCGTGACCAATTTTGCCTGATCGCCTGCTTTTCAAAGTGGCGTGAAATTTGACAATCATAATGCCTAGTGTTGCTCAGCTAATAATCTGGATTGTTTTATCACCTATTGCTTTAATCACGTGCATAGCATGCATCGTCATCATAGCCCATTATAAGCCATATTATCATGGTACTGATATATCACTTTTTTCTATTTTCATTGCCATGAGTTTAAGAGTCGTGATAGTCATTCTACTACCATCTATTATGGAACTGGCAAATCTGGGCTGGACACTGCACCTCTGTAATTTTTATGTCTGGGCATTCATAGCATTGCATATTGCGGAATTGTTAAGTTTCGTGACAGCTAGTATTCACTGGATGAGCATACCGCGATCCTCGACGAAGAAAAAGATTTATAATTCCTCTAAATATGTCAAGATTGTGATATCGTTGGTGTGGTTTTTCGCCATTGTGATAGGAATAGTTCCTGTTATTGAGTGGTCTGAGAACTTCCAGGGCTTTGGCGAGTGTCGATTCCTTCCTTATAATCTCGGTACAGGGTTTTCCGTATTTTTCATCATCATCAATGTGTTTTCTTTTACTATGTCCCTGATATGTACATGTGACACTATGGTGCTATTTAGCTCTATGAAACGTGTGGCTACGAACAAATACCAGGCTGGCCGTTTCTATTTGCCTAGTTCGGCTAGTGTGGCCAAAACAGCCAGTCAAACAGTCCACGCCAAATACAACGAGCTGAACTTTTCATCTGATCTGTGTCGTCTAGTCGTCATATTAATTATTTGTGCTTTCACCATTATTCACATTCCTTTTACGGTAAGTAAATCAGCCATTATATACTTTAAAGTGACTAGATTTCATAGATTTGGGGAAAAAAAGATTTAATGTGTTGATTTACGTTGACAAATGGCCATTTGTTTCATACAGCTAATAACTGATTTTGAGATCCAATGCCTACAGTTAAAAACAATAACGATACAAAATTGGTAACATGATTTCTGCTGAATATTTTAAACGTATAGCTTTTGTTCCACACTCATCGAAACAAGACACAATTTAACACTGTATTTTGACTTAAAGATATTTAGTTCCTTTAAATAACCACAAAAACATCAAATACAAAAATAAACAAATTCAGACCATTTACAGTTATATCCCTTTGGCAATATTCAACAACTACAATGAAGATATCATCTCTAAAATCTTAAGCCACAAAACATTTTATCTTCAAATGATCCCACCCAGTTGCCCCGAGCTTAAAACGTAATCGTTTATAGGACTATGTGAGCCCTATATCGGCGGAGATCACGTCGACGTTTTGAATGTAATGTAAAGTCAATAGGTATGGACAATAAATGACATACGCATGATTAGTCTTATACTAGAACCATGCAGGATTTCCGAAAAGGGGGTGGGTTGTCGGGTAGAATATGCATGTTTTCATGTATGGAGTGGAGAGTGAGTATTTTGATTATTAATGAATAATAATTTTCATGGTCCAAATAAGCCAGTCAATTGACGAAAACCCTACCTTTACGAATAAATAAATAACTAAATAAATAAATAAGTAATATGTATTTTGAAGATTTAAGAACACATTTTAGCCAGTCTGAAGTCATTACTCATTACAGTAGTAATTTGAGATTGCTTTATAATAGTCTTCAGCAAAATGGGATCGGAAGGAACGAACCAACGCAGATTCTAATTGAATTATTAATAATTAATGAACTTCAGGGTTGAGACAGTTGCCCACATTGATCAGTGGCGTTACTGTGAGTCAGTATTGCGTCTAGAAATTTATGAACGAATTATGACGGGTTACCTTTAACATAAGTATTCAAAGAATTGGCATATATCATTATAGATGTAGGCTTATTGTTATGTATATATTCTAATTTGTTATTGATTAATAGTTTATAGTTATTGTTTATTGTTATGGTTTATTTCTTTGATTTATGTTCTTATTTACCAGTGCTACTAATTTCTACTAAATCGTTAAAGTCATAAACAGGTGCTTGACCTTAATAGATTTTGATTACATTTGGCCACATTTAGTCGTTAAAAGCCGCCAATGTCAAATATTTTGTGAGGATTGATTTTTATTTAGGATAATGTGTTACTTGTTTAGGTATTGATGATAAAATTAGTGTCTATAGTAATGTTGACAACAAGCCTTTATTTAACTATCCATGGTCTGGTAACATCTGTGTATAAGTTTCTCAATATCAAAAGCTTAAATAGTAGAAATTTGGTCTTTAAAAAAAAGAAAGTAGAAATGCTATTGTATTGATTATATATTGTAAGGTAGGTAAGTATTATAATTAGGTCTAGTGTACTATTTCTACTACTTCTGTGATCGGATTCTAGTTAAATATAACTTTGCAGTAATGCTCTGATCTGACGAAAGCAAGTACCTGGCTAAATTAACAGTTTGACGCTAAAGAAGCTGGAAATATTTCATGACTTATATTATTGGAAACGTCTTTCAAATCACTTTGAGCTGATTAAACTACTCTGAATTATTTGAACGTAGTGGACACCGTTATGTTTCCTTACTAAGATAAAGGTGACAATAACTAGGGATTTCTTAATTTTGGTAAAAAAAACCGGTATTTTTATTTCAAAACCACGAAATACAAACTATTTTGAAAGAACGTATAATATTAGTTTTAATTAATCACGACTGTTTGGGTTTGGATGTACCGGTTATAACAAAATCGGTTTCCAGTCGCCCTAGTTTAAGAGTGGTCGATCGTATCGAACCCAGCTGATAAATTCAGATTATTGATAACACAATCCACGGTTGTTTCTCTACCGTGTTTAGATCTGTGCGCATATTGAAATTCGTACAATAGACTACTTCTCCTTGACATGAGCATCTAAAATGGTATTTACATTTTGTCGGAAATGAATGTGGTTAGTAATAATTCATCAATTAAATTCTAACCCTAATCATAATTGTGGATAGTTTGGTGTCCCCCAAGGCCCTGCCCTCGGTCCTTTCCTATTCCTTTTTTAAATCAATTAAATTGACTTATGTCAGATTATTTGCCGATGATACCTCCCTCTTCCTCAAAATCGATGACCCGAATGCAAAAGCGCCAGCCCTCCCAATGCTGACCCCCAAACTATTAATGTCTGGGGTAAAGCACGCCTGAGTACCTTTTCTCCCCTTAAAACTTTGACTATCAGCACTACAACATAAGCCACCACTGTGTTTTAAACACACTTTCATCAATTGGAATAGCAATTTACCTAAACCCGACACTGCTTGCCTTAATATTTAAGGTTACCTTTTACCCAGTAGCCCGAGGCTTCTGAAATCTGGATTCAAACCTTTACTCCATAAAGCTATAAGTAGTGAAAGATGTCGCGCATGAGGTAGGGTATGCTTAATATATCTAGAGCATCCGCTACCACTTCTCCTTTATTATATACTTGTATAAGTAGGCTGAATCGGGAAGCCATGTGCCTTGTTTTAGTATCATGAGTATTGAAATATGAACTTTCTTATTTATATATGTATGGAATGAATAGCGTTTAAAAATTGGTAGATTATCTGCATAAGTAGGCGAATGCAAAATTATTCGGTTTGAAACGCGGGTTTTGGTCTTCCCGTCTCGATATAAAATCTAATACCAGAAAGAATGTATACCAGCATCAAACTGAACACGCAACACGAAGGATGATTAATAGCATATTGTCAGCAAGATAATAGGTATTAGGCACACCTCTAGACAGCAGCACAGGTCACGTGCGAAACAACATGTTTCCGTTGATAAGTCTACATTCTATATAATAAAAAAACATGAAGAATTGATCCTATTGATCTGGTTATTATATTGTAGGAGTTATTGAACAATGTCTGTCTGTATAATGTTATAGCATCTTCATCATAAAACATCATAAACAAACCGGTTGCTAGGATATAGGAACACGTGGATGAAGTACATGCTTATTTATTGATATGGTTATAATAATTTTCGTAATAGTGTATTATTGATATTCTTAGAATTGCTGTGTTAACAATAATTTGATTTTACGTTCAGATTAAGAAGAATAATATGCATCATTTGAATGCACACAGTCCTTACGTGAGCGGTTACGATCAGTTGTTCAACAAAATAGATAAAAAAGGAAGCGAAAGTCTTTTGGTGGTGGTCATGGTTTCTAAGTCACGACAGCCATAAAGTGGAATAAACTACCTTCAGACACCCACAGAAGTCGAACACTCAATTATATTAATATTACACATTCTGTGGATTTACTGTCCAGACAGGTTAATGATACATTACCCCGTTGCTGCTGCAAGTTGAGGCCAATAAGGACCAAAGCCTATTTTCACTGGCTTGATAAGTGACGCTTTTGGAATGTCGACCTGTCAAATACTTCATATTATATCTCAAATTGGAAAGCTTAAATGACACCAGATTAATCAAACATCATAATAACAATTTCTGCTTTCCAAATATTGACAAATATCTTCAAAATTAAACTTTTATAATAAAAACATAAAGATTCATGTCGTATAATGTATGCTTGTTTACTGTTTTCTCATTAGCAACGTTTGTTTTTACTATCGTCATATTTACATTCGACTCGGTCAATAATAGGTCCTTATATCCATTCGAATAAAGAAATTTCATAGAAGATAAAGTGTCTGTTTATTCGTTAAGCATCATTGACAATTCAACCTTGTAATATAAAGTATCAACTAAATGCGACTAATAAGTTAATCGAAGGCTGGTTCCAAGCCCACTTCGATTTATTTATATCCTTCAGTATTGCAAAAGTCCTGGAAATACGGGTTAATTTCTTACAATATATTTCTAAATATGCCCTGGGACCAACCAACCATAAATGCGAATTTATTATTATGGGTTTCTTACCATTATCATATTTAGATTGGCATCCTCAGGTATATAATAGTGTGGATGTTCAGATAAATCTTTGCAGATGGGGTTTCTAATGTGTATTTCGTTAGCGCCCTCTTGGCTTGGGGGCACTTATGATCGCGTCTAATTCCTCTGGTTGACCCTTTTAAACAATCTGATTAGTTTTATTGATTACTATATATACTACAAATACATTAAATGTTTGACCTTAAATATTCACGCCATTTAATGGCGATAAAATAGTTCCCCTTCGGGCATTTCCACACCGTTGAATTTAGCTACTTAATAGATGACACTATTATTAGAATTACTAATGAAATATTTTGTTTCTGTCAATTTGACAAAATGAACAATTAAGTTACTGATAATTCATTAGTTAATTCTATCCCTAATATCAATATTTGTGTGAATTGGGGATAATTAAAATGAATATATATAACGAAGTAAAAAATGAGGTCATCAACAACAGAACCAACATCTGGTAATTATACAATGGAATAGATCGCCTGCGCACAGTGTATGTCTGGCAAAGCAGGGATCCAACAAACAAGGTTAAAAATGAAATGTAATGGGGTTTAATGTCCTACTTTTCTACACCAACATGGCTAATGAAGAGTGGAATTGTGCACGCCCAGTGGCATTTCCACCAACTCTTCATCGGATTTTAAGAGTAAAGGTCTTTTTTACGTACACACCTACGTGTCGGCCTACGCGGGACCTCGGTTTTTCGTCCCAACCGAATGACTAGACACTGTTTCTCCTGGAATTTAGTCGTAAGCCGATTACTCATTAGCCATAACGGTGAGCGATTCTGCGAACATTTAAGAAAATAACGCAGGTCTAATTATTAGAGCATTGTTTATGTCGAAGTTTAAATCTAGAGCTTAGTGTCTGCAGAATGGTCTATTTTACTAAATGACA